ATAAGTTTTTCTTTTTATAAAGCTCACTGGTGGCGAAGCTTAATTTCTCGATTTTGGCAATTCTTTCCTTAAACCCTTCTCTCTCTGACCCATTGCTGCATATGATTTCTCCAAGGTATTTAAATCTTTGAGTTACTTTTATCGTTCCGTATTTGGTTTTAATTGTGTTCTTCTTAAAATTCGCGTCCGTTGTCATCAATTCCGTCTTTTCAAAAGATATATGTAAGCCTGTTTTCCTCGCTATTTCCGAGAGGGTGTTTATTTGGGCAATCGCCTCTTCTTCAGTTTCGGATAAAAGGGCAACGTCGTCTGCGTATGCGAGACATCCAATTTTGACGTTATTGTTCTTAGTACCTAGGGTTGCACCTGAATTGTTGATTTTCCATAGTTCCTTTATGAACTTGTCGAGTAATACGTTAAACAGTATTGGAGACAACCCGTCTCCCTGTCTGAGACCCGTTTTGATCTGAAATGATTCACTGATATTTCCTTGGAATTTAACTTTAGATTCAGTCCCTGTCATCGTTAACCCTATCAATTTTCTAGTTTTTTGGTCAACTCCGTATTCTTTTAGTACTTCAAGTAGTGTTTTCCTATCTACCGAATCACACGCCTTTTTGAAATCGACGAAAGAAATAAAAAGGTTCTTTTTACTTTTAGTCCTGTAGTGTTTGATTAATAGCTTGAGGCTCAAAATTTGTTCTTGACATGATCTATTTTTTCTAAAACCACCTTGGTACTCCCCGATTTTAGAATCTACTTGTGGATAGAGTCTGTTTAGTAAAGCCTTTGAGAAAATCTTGTAGGTGACCGGTAGTAGGGAGATTCCCCTGTAGTTATTCACATCAGTTTTATCTCCCTTTTTATGTAGTGGGTGTATTAAGGCTGTTTTCCATTCTTGGGGAATCTTCTCCTCGCTCCAGATATCTATCATCAGCTTCATGATTACCCTTCTGAAGTCATCCCCAGTCAGTTTCCACATCTCGGCAAGCACACCGTCCTCTCCTGCCGCTTTGTTGTTCTTTAAGGATGCGATGATTTCATCCAGTTCCTCATCATCTGGTGGATATGATTCTGCATCAGGAGGCGTGTTATCGACCATTGTCATTCTTTCCTGAGGTTCTTCACAGTTCAATAGTTCCTCAAAATACTTCGCAAAAATGTTACAGTTTTCCTCACTCGTCTGTGCTAGGGTTCCATCCTTCCTCCTCAATATCACCCAGATGCCGTGAAACCCTTGATTTTCTGTTTGCAACCTTTGTAGAAGAGGCTGGAGTTGTTCCTCTTGAAGTTCGTCTCTATTTCAGATAGTCGATTATTGAAAAACTTTCTCCTTCTTTCCCTCAGGATTTTGTGAGCGATCTTTCTTTCTATTATGTATTTATGGTAACTTTCCTCCGTTTTGTTCTGGTTCCACTTTTTCCACGCCTCGAACCTGTTCTGGATTGCCTCCTGGCACTTGATGTTCCACCACTCCTTTCTCTTGGATTTTCCTCCTGGAGCTAGCTTTTCGGCCAAGTCCATCATGTTCTTGGTGGTTTCCTCCCAGTTCTGTGGGAGTCCTAAGTTTTTCCTAAACATTTCCCCGTTATTTTTGACCAGATTTTCCCTGTCTATTTTCCTGCTTTTGATACCGTTCCTGAAATTATGCTTCTTCGTGGGAAACATCTTAATTTTTATTTGTGATGGGTAGTGATCTGACGTAACGTTTATTGCCTTTCTTACTTTAACGTTCTGGATTTCTTTATAGGACTTACAGGAAATGGCTACGTGATCTAACTGAAATTCCCCAAGATGGTTGTTTGGGGAGACCCATGTCTTTTTCTTGCTGGCTTTCGCTTTGAAATAGGTCGACATGATCTTTAATTCAGCTTTTTGACATAGTCCGATTAATCTCTCGCCATTCCTGTTTGTTCTATTGTGTGCCGGGTATTTCCCCACCGTTTTTCTGTATTTCCTCTCTTTGCCTATTTGTGCGTTGAAATCTCCTAGTAGAATCTTTACATAGTTTCGCGGTATTTTGCTTACAATCTCTTCCAGGTTTCCCCAAAACGCCTCATTTATATATATATATATTTTTTTTTTTTTTTTGCTCTGATGTATTAACTGTACAGAAGAGGCATTTATTTCTTAGAAATGTGTATACACCATGCAAAAGCATATTACATGCATAACATAGTTATTTTAAATTAAAAAAAAAAAAAAGATCTTGGGAAGGGGGAGATAGGTTCTTTGTGCCATCGACCTTTGGGAGGATGGGCACCCCTGACAATATATGACCTAAACATTCTACTAAAGTAACTAAATAGAAACACATTTTTTTCTCATTAATGCAACTGCAGGTGTAAAAATATTTCTAAAAAAATAATTTGGAGATTATTTTTTTTTTTTACTTTGAAGGCTTCTTCTTGTTCAATTTTATATATTGATAGGAATAGTTTTAGGGGAGCAGGGTAGCTCAGTAGCTCAGGTTCGAACCCCGGCTCATGGCAGAAAATTTATTTATCTGTTTCATTGGTAGTGGGGCGACCCTGGGTTGAGGGTCCCTCCTAGGGCACACCCAGCCTCTATAAAGTGGGTACTCTTAATTAAATAATTAGTTAAGGGGGAAAACCTGGTGGTTGAGTGTGATCTTGCTCAAATCACCTCCTTGCACAACTGTTGACCTAGAAACAGTGCTTTCCCTAAATAGTACTGAACCCAAGACCCTTCATGGGTTGTAGTGGCACAGTTTTTTGTTTACATATTTTATTCATTAATGTAGGTTAATTGTTATTGATTTTGATTTTATTATTGTTCTTCAAAATATTGGGGGGAAAATGATATTCTCATTCTCTCTCTTTATTTTTATTGGGGAGGGTGATAGCCCATTCCTCCCCTCCCCTGAAGTCTGCGCCTATACTCACACATGAAATATTTAGATAGCTATCGAAATTTCTTCCTTTAAAGTAACTTTATTTTGTTTATTTGAAATAATTAAACATCTGACGTTGTTAGTAGCAATACTTCTTCTTCTTTAGACAAAATGGATAAATATAAAATTTGAAAGAAATTTATAATTATTTATTATTAATTAATGTCTATAATTTTTACTTACACTGCCCTCCATATGAAAACACCTATTTCTACTCAAAATACGGTGGTAAGTGAATGTTATGTGATAGGTGCAACCCATCATTTTTTTTCTTGTTGGCTTATAGTGGTTCCTTATTGAAAATAATAAATCTTAATATATTTACAAATTTCAATAAGTTTCTATCCTTGTAATGGTCCGATTTAAATTATTTTTCTTGCCTTGATCCACCAATTTTCCACTATCCCAGTTTTGAAACTTATTGAAATGTTTTTACCCACGTTATTTAATTCACAAAAATGGAAAGTACGAATCGCTAACACTCCCCCTCTGTGAAATTCTGAATCCAATGGTACTCCATTTATGGCATATGAGCATTATAAGAGCTTATATTAGGTGTGAAATCGATTTCGAGCCTTATTGAAATAATATATGAGGGGATAAGATAGAATAAAGCAATTATTCTATTTCTCACAAAAACCCATTAACTTTTAATAAGTTTTTCAAATAATCAGAACAATAACATCTCCAGAAATATTGCAGTTGATAATTAAAAGGATATTCAAATTGTCTTCCAGAGATCATTTCAATATGGATAATAATTATCATTAACAAACAGGAAGGTAGAAACCTTCCAATTTATTACAGGTATAATCAACCATAAATTGCATAATTTTTGAGATATTCAGAAATAAAGTTTTTATTTCTAAATAACTTTTTTTCTGGGAGATGTACTTATTGTTTAGCAATGAAAGAAGAAATAATCTTCAAAATGATACCTTAATCATTGGTATTCATTAAGTATTAAAGAAACAACTTAAATATTGAAATTTATTAAATATTAAAGAAACAACACAATCATTGGAATTTATCAAGTGTTTGGTGTATCCAACAAAAAAAATCTATCAGAAATAATATTTCAGTATATTGCAAAAGTCATTAAGTAACATTTCATAACATTAGATCAATAAGATTTTTTTATCAAATATGTTTGTTATATAAAAAAGGTTTGTATCCTTATAAGACGAGCCTCACAGAGGAAGGGTTTCATCTTCAAGAAACAATTAAAATGTTAACAGAATCTACGATCTCGTGCGTTCAGATTGTCGTTTGACAGTCCGAATGATCGGTGAAGATTTGAATTTGACTCACAGCCATACATCAAATCTTGGCCAATGCATGGACAGATCCACGGGAGAGGGAGGGTTTTCCGACTGAAGCCCCCATTCCAAAAAAATGCTAAAATATAACCATATTTAATGGACAAAATTATCTTATTAAAGTATTATTGTTCATGTAATTACATTTAATAGGACTTCAAGAATCACTTAAACACCATTTCATAAAAGTAGTTAGTTTCTTTCTTTTTTTTACAAAGTAATTATCATTATATATATGAAAAAAAAAATCTTTCGGGCTGAAGCCCCCAAAAATTAAATCCGGGATCTGCTAGTGGACTAATGAATTGGTGATGGAAAAAATCTTTTACAAGAGCAAAAAGACTTCAGAAAGTGAACCAATCATCAAAAACATATGCGGGTGTTGCATCAGGACAATGCACCTTGTCACACTGTGGTTTCCATCAATGAGTTTTTGGATAGTATAAACAATTCATATCGCTCCTCAATCTCCTTATTCACTCAACTTGAGTCCATGTGACTTTTCTGTCCCCAAGACTGAAAAATCACCTCAAGGAAAGATATTTTGGGACATTGGGGAATATTAAAACAGCCACAAGGAAGAATCATCTCCAGCACTGTGTGACTTCCCCAGGTAGTTACTTTGAAGGAAACAATGTGAAATTGTAATTTTATTTCAATAAAATAATCAGTCTTATTACTTAAATTACACACCTTATATTACATCCTCCTCTCATTAATAGGAACCTAATTAACAACATGTAATATGTATTCCATTTGTTATTCAGGAAACCTGAGAGCAGTCAGAGGTAAATAGGAAAAAATCCTTTAACCTGATGCCACCGATTGTAAAGTTTTCAAATATACAACACACTTGAAACAAATATTACTAGCTTGAAACCATAATGATGAGCCTGGAGTAGTTACAGAGATTATATATCACAGATATCAGTAAAATTTACTTGGAAGAAGTGACAGGTGGACTCGATTTAAATACACTTTGAAATTTTATCATTAATGGGGTAATGTTTTGAATCACATCCTTCAATTGATAAACGTCAATGTCGCCCTAATCAGTGAAACTGGACTAACCAGTATAAGACAGTATTTTAATCATTTTTTTTTTTTTTTTTTATGTAAGGAGTTAATGAAACGATAAAAACTTAAACAAATAACTTTATTCCACAACAAAAAAAGAATAATCTCCATAATGCCAATATTACATATCAAAAATAAAATAACACAATTAAATAATTAATGGATACATTTTAAAAAACTAAACCTTTGATTTAAAAGAGAAAGATTGGGTGGGATAGAGGGAAAGATTAAGAGAGATTCAAGATATATGAGAAAATGATAAATGTAAGTTAAAATTGAAAATATACAACAAAGTTTGCATACAAAATACAATTTAATAGGATACTTTAATAATTTGAGTAATAGTTTATATTTGTTTGGAGAGGAATAGAGCTAATAACTACAAACAATATAAGGTATATTTACACAAGCATAAGTACAGATATGTATAAATGGCATCATGGTAAGATTTATTAAATTATAGCTGATAGTTATTATCACCCTATTCTATATTTATGCACAAAAAAAAGGTTTATTGTCTCTAAAAAAGTAAACTAAAGCAATGTGTTTAAAGCCATTAAGAAATGACACAATAGTGGATTTTTTTTTTAATTTTTTTATATAAGGTTCAAATAACTATTTTTGAACAGAAAACTCTGTATTTTATTTTATAGAAATATTTCCAAATAAATCTTAAATATATACAATATATTCAAATTAAAACACCATTATTTTATACAACTTTAGTTTCTAGGATGGGAATTTATTTATCTGTTAAAATTGGGTATTTCTAGAGATATTACAACTACCTTAACATACAGTCAAAATAACTGCCTAATACTAACATCATAAAATTAATAATACCTATAAAGCAAAACTGGTGAGAAGTTTCAGTTTTGGCTTTTTGATTAAACATTTGAAACAGTAGGTAATAACAATGGAATGTTCTAATGACCATTCATATCAGCAGTCATAAATATTGTTTAAAATAATTACAAAATACTGAAGCCATTGGTTGACATCATTTTACTGATTTTTATCAATGATTTGGATGATAAAAAACTAATTTATAACATGATGAACCATGAACTCCACTAGGGCAGTGATTTTATTTGTAAATTGAATTTCTAATCATTCTTGTCTGCGCAAGCCAAGTCATATGAACATCCCTTCACCTTTTTTTTCCACTGTTAATAACTTCTGAACCTTCTTAATTCCTCATTTTGCTGTACTACTAAAGTCTCTGAAATTCTATACAACAATTATAGAGGTAATGTTCAAATTTTTTATAAACATTATATAATTTTTTTAATAATTATTTAAACCTAATCATTTCATATTTTGATACAAAATCATAAAGTAACTATAACAACAGTCAAAGCTATTCACATAAATTAAGAAAAAAAAATGAGATGCACTTTATTTCTAATGTTCTCACTACTTTCTCTTTTATAAAATAAACTAAAAAAAAAACACATTAAAAAACATACTGTAGCAGTTTACAAGATTAATAAGTTTAAAAAGGCAGACTTTTGAGATTAAAATACAATTATACTCAAGTTTATGAGTATGGCTATTAAGTGAATGTTACCTCACTTAACTACACTGAAATAACTAATAGCATCTCAACATAATTTAAGTGATGAATAGGTTGAACTATGACACAAGTACTTTTAGAAGGCATGTGCTTTTTAATAATAAGTTTCTTGTTCAAGCCAACCTCCAGGATTTCGGCGCAAGTAAAATCTTCGAACTTCATCATATACAAAGATTGAGATCATGAAAGGAATGGCTGGTAACCACCAAACAAATCTGAAAAATTAAAAAGAAAACAAGTTTTATTAATAAATTAACACTTACATTATTATATAGTAATAATAATTATGTATACATTATTTTTTGCAATACAATGAAGTATATCTAAGATATCGACTTATTTAAGCACTGACAATCAGAACAAGTTTTATTATATTTTGCTGGGTAATTGGAAAAAAATCACTAAGTATATTTTTGATGAAGCCAAACTTTTAGGTATATATTTTTTAATTTTAATCTTATTTATGAATATAAGAATACAGTATGAACATTAAAATGACACAAACCCTAATGTGCATTAAAAATAGTAATAACTTAGTAACCCAACAATATATGGAACACAGACAAAACTTCACCATCATATGAAACTTTTGGTTTCAAAAACAGTTCAAATTTATTGAGTTGAGAAATACATTGTTTTGCAGTAAAACATTCAGTGATTAAACAATAAAGATGATAAACATGATGGAATCATTTTAAAGGGATTAATTACAAAACAGTTCATGTGAAACAGTAATTTATAAATTACCACTTATTTTTTAGTCAAATTGAAACAAACATTGAGGAGAACAAAAGGAGTTTGTCTATCGGTAAAGAATGTTTTGGTATTGGATTGTTCTTCAGCACACCTTAATATTGGATCAACAAAAATAAAACAGGCTTTTTCTCCACACTTCACAGCACTGCCAGACTTGACATGTTTCAATTAAGTGGAATCACTATAATCACAAGTATAATATCTCATAAAAGAATACATTTTTGTCATAGGGGGAGTGATACGTCATACATAGTCAGAAGAGGAAACAGCCTCTCCTCCCCAACTCTACTCTCACCTGCACATGGTAGGCACTGCAAAAGCCGAGCGACCCAGTCCAAGTCTGGTTGGTAACCAATCCCTGTAGAGGACTGAGTCGGTGAACAAGTGAGAGAAAAGGAGCCCTGGAAGGAGAAATCCTCCCAGGGTAGGTTCCTGGCACCTCTCTGACAGGACCGTGATCCCGGGCTGACGGGATCCTTCGTACTAGGCCAATCACCCGTAAGGAGGTACACTCGGATTCAGAGAAACATTGCCAGTCTCAGATTTGGACGAAATAAAAGTTTACGACACGGTGCGATTGAAGATTTACATTTAGCAACTTGGAACATAAATCACTAACAGGAAAGGATTATTTGACAAAGACCGCTTTAATTAACAGAAGGGCAAAAAAGAACATATTGGTAGAGTGAAGAAGTTAAATGTGCAGTGGTAAACAAAAAGAAAGCCTGGAAAGAATACATGGCAAGTAAGACTCAGCAAAACTGTTCTATTTATGTTCCTAAGAGAAATTCTTGGGAACAATTTGGAAAGGAACTAAGAAATGTGAGAAATGAAAATGGAGACATAGTAAACGAAACTGCTGGAAATCAAGAACGATGGGAAAGGCACTATGGCGTGACATTTGCAGAGCAAACAGCAAGCTCTGAACAATAGATTCACAATCCAGGTGAACAAGATAATGATCAAGACCAGGATTTAGACATAATATGGGAAGAAGAAGTTAAAACGACCATAGAGAGACTCGAGCTTGGGAAAACAGTAGGAAGGGACATTTCTCCAGAATTTATTAGTACACCGGAATGGAGATAATTAAGGTACTGTAGAAACTTTTCCGAAAAAATTATGAGGAAAAGAAAATTTCTAAAGAATGGGAATATAACATTATTATACCCATCCACAAGAAGGTAAGCACAAACGAGTGTAGTAACTACAGACCAATATGTCTCTTCCAAGTCATATATAAGATATATACATTGATTTTGGAAAAGAAGCTGAAACGATTAGTCGAGAAAAATCTGGAAAATAAGCAATCAGCTTTCCACCCTGGATGCCAAACCCAAGACCATATCTTCGCTTTAAGAATGTTAATCAAGATAGCCTGGGACCGAAATAAAAGCTTATACCTTGCTTTCTTGACATTAAAACTGCGTTTGACTCAGTACCAAGAGAGGAAATATGAAAAGTGGAGTAATGAATGTGCCGAATGGTTTGTTACAATAAAATCTACATACCAGGCTCCAAAGGGCATTTTAAGAATTAATGGTTTGGAGTCGAAGAGCTTCCCAATGGAAAAAGGAGTAAAGCAGGGAGATAGCCTCAGTCCTCTACTGTTCATCATCTTTATGGACAAAATAATAAAGAACTGTAAAAGAAAAACAACAAGAGCAGTGATTGGTCATTGGAACATGAGACCTATACTGGCACAAGTAATGGTATATGCCGATGACATAGTCCTCATTGCTGACAATACACATAATCTCCGGCAAGCCCTAATAGAGTGAGAAGCAGAACAGGGAAAGGCATGAATATTAATGCCAGAAAAAGCAAAATCGAGACGCCAAACAAATCCACATAATGTGCAGAGAACCGGAGCTTGAAGTCGTAAATAAGTTCTCCAACCTTGGAACTATGATCAGCAGAAATGGATAAGTCCAACCAGAAATATCCCACAGGATAGGGAAAGCTAATAGTATATACTATTCCATTAGCAAACTAATCGTAGGAAAGAGAGAGGTCAATAAAAACATCAAGCTCCAAATATTCAAGGCCATATATATGCCTGTTCTGCTGTATGGAGCAGTGAGCTGGGTACTCCTGGACAACAAATGGATCTGTATATCTTCAGCAGAAGTGAAAAACTTGTGATAGCGACTTCCAAAATCTGAAGGGATAGGACCAGCAATGAAATTATAAGGGAACAACTAAACATTCCAATAATGAAAGAGACTCTGGAGAAGAAACAGTTAGGATGTACAGGCATGTGTGCAGGATGAGCCCTGATTGTGTCCCACACAAACTTATGGAGGTGAGAACTGTAGGCACTAGACCTAGAGGAAGACGAAGGCTTAGCTATAATGACTATATTTCCAAGTTGGGACTAGCAGGGGGAAAGATATTTCAAGGGATGAAGACTCTTGCAAGATACAGAGACAGATGGAGATCCTGGGTTGGATTAACTTAACTCAACACTGAAAGGCATAAGAAGAATATTACAGAAGAAATGTTTTTAATCAAGGTTAGACAATATGAGAAAATATAACATAGCTATTTAAAAATTAGAATTTCTACATATCCATCAGATAAAAAAATATAAAAAATAATAGTTCTTTTAAACAAAATTAAAATGTAGAAGTTTTAACTGATGTATTATACATATCCAGAAATTCATAGTACTTACTTCAAGGGATACATTCGAAGACCTTTGTCCATTCCAGGAGTGTATGACAGAAATGCTGCAAGAGCAGTTTCAAAAACAATGCCAAAATTTAATGCCCAATTCCTGAAAAAAATAAATGAATAAAAATAGAATAATATATTGAATAGCTCACTCGTCAGAACAACAGCTCATAGGCAATTAAGTACTCAATAACACCTTAAAACATTCAGGGAAATATTTTGGGGTATATTTAGGTAAATAAGGCTTAACTGAAGACATTTAATGACTATAGAAGTATTTAAATAAGTAAACATTTATACATTTTAGGTTTGTTCAAATTAATGCAAGATTAATTGCTCGTATTGGCAGGAAGAACTAGTTTGGCAAGTGAGCCTTGTGATTGGGCCATGATTTATATCTTGGGCCTACTGAAAAATTAATATATGTTTCAGATGGGAATTGTACCCACAGTGTTCAGAACCGACCATTGAGGGAGCCTCTCCCCAATATGCTTGGCCATAATTTCCTCAAGATTAAGTAAAATTGTCATTTTAAATCAACCAAAATTTTAACCTTCTGAGCTAATATATAAAAAAAAATATGTATACCTCATTCCCTGATGAAGTATAGAATTTCTCCTGGTTTTACAGATTATTAAATCCGCCCACTGTACTACTACAATTGAAACAAAGAAAGCAGTATGACATGTGTATTCCAAAGCTTTTCTATCACGGTAAGTCTGAAACACAAATCATTTAACTAATATAAACCAATGTTCAGAAACATAAAATATATATATATATATATTATAAAGAGAATCATTTAAAACAAACCCATTCTTGCCCATATGAATCAGTTAGGTCATTTACAGCTTTTGAATCCCACTGTTTTCTGATTCCAAACAATTTCATAGGTAGAAAACCATTCTCAGCCATTATTACAAAATAAACAAAGAATCCTGCAGCAGCTTGTATCATGCCAATCTGACCATAAGCCATGGAAATGAGCCTATAAAAATTTTAAAATATTTTAATTAAAAAACTGTAACCCTATCATACACACAATAAAGAAGTATTGACATGTCAACTATAAAATTCTCATTATTATATACTGAGAAAACATCAGATATTTATTCATTACTTTGAAATATTAAATCTTTGCTTTTATTTGATAAGATTATTAAAATATTTACTAGTAAACAAGTTTTTGAGCAGTCATAATGAAAATAATTTCTACTGTCACAGTTTTTAATTTTTTTTTTTAATACTTGACTCTATCCATGTGTAAAGTTAAATGAATTATTTATTAAATTTAAGAAATTACTAATGTTTTTAAAATATTACCAAGAAAAAAAAGGAATAGATATAAAAATGGCAAATAAAATTAGATATATTTTGTTCATCATTCGGTTTTGAAGATAATAAACAAATAACATTAAATTTAAAAAGCTGAATATATCAGAGATTGTGGTAAACAAATAAGAGAGAGAGAGAAAAAAGAGCCACACCTTCATTTCATGAAATAAAACCATGGAAATGATCAAAAACTTGAGTAATGTATTAAAACTAAATTCATCACTCACTCACATAAAATCTGGATTAGGGTCCTCAACTGTGGTAGATAATTAATTATTCTATTATATCGCTTATTGATTAATCATAGGATTGGAATACTCTCCTAGAACCCACCCAACATCTATAAAGGTGGAAGCCTTAATTTGGGAGTACTTGCATAAGGAAAAAATTGTTAAAATTTGGGCTGCAATATTATTCGTGTGATAAAGAATGTATATCAGATTGATATTGCTTTCTTTAAATAATAAAAAAGGTTCACATTAATAATGTATCTTAGTTATTAACTTGAAATAATAGTGTGTTGGTAATTAATATATGATGGGGATAGAGTGAGAAAGAGAGTAGATTAGTGTTGAGTGTACAAAACTGTGGAGATGTAAGTTACCTCCCATCCGGTGGACTGAGTTCATTTGCTTACTGCCAAATTCTTGTGGGTTGGCTAAAGATGCTAAGAGCATTATTACATGTATGTAATTACATGCTTTATTACATTTCTGGGGCTATAAACTAGAACAAAATGCTATAAAATATGTAGAGGAAGGCTTGAAGAAAGAGTAGATAACATTTAAACCAGGGAAGCAAACCAAAATTCGTGTCTCCTCAATATCACGGGTAGAACTAATCTTAGAACTCAGAAAACTGTAACTAATAAAATAAATCACAAGAAGTGGAAAAGAATATAAATAAACTTTAAAGTAGTATAAAAATTCTTTGAATTATAATGAACTCAATTTGGTTTCATTATGAAATTGTCTGAGGAAAATGTCCGACTTTTCTCCTTTTAAGTAAAAGTAAAGGTGAGAAATATCTGTATAAGAGCTCTATGGGTATTGTTATTTATCGAAAATTCCAGTAATATTATTTTTTTTTTATTATATAGGTGTTCCAACGAGGGTACGAGTTCCAGAGGTGACAGTTAGGCCCAATCTCCATCTTCAAGATAGGACCAGCCATCTCCAATTTTTTCTGGGTCATCCTCGCCTCCATCTTCCCAGTGGTTGCCAACCTAGAATTCGGTTAGGCCATCGCTCGGTAAACATTTGTCTTACATGACCGTATCGTATCAGCCTTCACCGTCTAATTCTCTGTTTGAAGGATACAGGAGCCTCCGTCCTGTCCCTAATACCTACCTCGTTCCTAATTCTATCCATCCTTGCCACATGCCCATCTCCTCTAAAAGTCCATTTCCACAGCTTGTACCTTGAATAGAGCTGGGATGACAAGTTCCAGGTTTCAGTTTCAGCTGCATACATTAGGATGGGTTCTATGTTGGCGTGGCATATCCTTCGCTTGTTTTCTTTTAGAACTCCTATTTTGGAAAATAGGATGCAGCATGTGTGTGGCTTTCCGAGCTCAAATAAGTAATACTACTTATTACGTAATCTCAATTTTAATGGTGTTTTTTGTACATAGTTAAGATTTTTAACCAATAATATTTAAAAATCAGTGTTAACTCAGTCTTACATCTCCTCAAAAAAGAATTATGCTGTAACTTATTGTTTCAATTTGTATTTTTCTTCCATCCAGTACTACTACATGAGTTAATAAGCAGGACTATGCTAGAAAAATACTATACACAAACTATATATATATAATAAGCAACTGGAATTAATTTATCAGAAATGACAGTGCAGTTTGTATAAAATGTATGATTTATGTTGGCTGATGTTTGGTACTTATTTTACATTTAGTACTATTATCAATATAGGTATAGCTTCAAATATTTAGTAATTAGTAATACAGTTTAAAAAATGTAGCATCTTGATATATTTATTTGGGCTTTATTGTTTTTATCTATCCAATTAATAATTGAAGAGGAAATAGCAACTAATAAAAATTTGATGATTTAAATAAAGCACAATATTTATGCAAAGACAACTTTACTAATCTAAAATTGTAAAAGAACATCAAATGAAATGGTTCAACAAAGTAAGTTGAATGAAGGAAGATAAGAAAGCAAGAATTTCTTATGATGAAAATCTTAAGTAACAAGGGTGGTTCAATACAAAAAAGAAATGAAGGAAATAAGAAAACATAGCTCTTTATGAAAATTCGACATGTTTCTCCTAATAATTCGCAATATATATGTTAATAAAATTAATCCCAATCAATGTGAAATATGTTTATGAAATATTTTACAAAACACACCAGATTTTAAAAAATGTAGTTGAATTTTTTTTTTTAAAGCTGAAAGAGCAAAACTTTCACTACTTACTCCATAAGAATAATATTGCTTAACATAACTCACCTCACAGATTGTCACAGCATCTCGAAAAATGAGTTAATATTTTTTATTAAAATTTACTATCAATTATTTAGCAATCAGTTTCTATGGTAAATATATGTTTAATGAAAAATAAGTCACTAAAATAAAGTTTACTATGTCTACAAAAACTATTTCTTTTTTTCTTTGTTTGCCCTTGAATTTTAAATATAAGAAATTCACAAGAATAACAAAAAAAAACTTAAAATCAAAGCTATAAATAAAACTATAAGTTATAATCAAAAACAGATTATCAATCAATTGAAAACCATTGATGAAAAACATCCTATAAGTAACGAAATAAGAGAATTACAATTTAGATCTTTTAATATTAACTCTATAACACAGAAATAAATTCCTAGGAAAATAACACCCTATTAAAAAAAATCTACAATAGTTATCTTGATCCAGTGCTTGCAATTAATTTAGTTTCTAATTAAACCTGTAAAATAGCCAGAAAAAGTAAATTACCATGAATTATTTCTAGCAGAACTCATGCAACCTATTTTAAAATTCATTCATAAGTCTAGAATAAATACATTAGACAGCATTCCAATCAAACATTAAAGAAAAATCAACTGAAGAGCTCAAGTTCATATGAAATAGGTTTTGAAGGAAAAGGACTATGGCAAACACAGATATAATACAACCACGTAGAGAAAGTATGGATAAGATCTACAAAAGTTAAATTTAAAAGTAAATTATACCAGGCATAACATACAATACAAAATGAAACATATTACCCTAAAAAATTTGTTCTCCACCCACAGGAACTTCATTAAGAAATAATCATAATTTTGCAGAACTGACAACTCAAAATATAATTGAAAAAATAGATAAACCTATAAATAAATAAATTATATAATCATAAGCCGTAGAATTTATAAAAACAACATGTAAACAAATCGAGTTTGACATAATGGTTTAATCATGTCTTCATAAAGCACTCCTTTCTTCCTCAATGCTTTGTAGTCCAGGTGATGACCTGAAATCTGGATCGAAATAGCAACCAAAAAGTAAATAAATAAATCAACATAAAAACCATGTTTAATTCATCTTGACTGATATTAACATACCCAGGATTTGATACATAGCTAAGCCTAATTCGTTCATCATCATCATCATCATCATCATATATATATATATATATATATATATATATATATATATATATATATATATATATGTGTGTATGGATTAATTGATTTAATATCATGATAAACCTATCAGTAAAAAATTTAAATAACAATCCTTTATAATATGATTAAATTTACACATACTATAGTGATTTTTACAGGATTATATTGAGAATTTATTATTTACAATATTTCATTTAAGTAATTATCATAAGCTGTTAATTTTAATATTAAAATGGTTCTGGGTGTATTAAGTAATAGAAATAAAAAAAGTTACTTGAAAGATCTAGATAGCACTGAATGAAGAAGGTTGTATAATTGTCTGTGTTGATCTGGAATTGTCTAGACCTTCCACACCATTATATAAGTGGCTTTCATAGTTAAGTTTTCAATATATAGTATATGAATGTAGTTCAGAGTTAGTTGAGTTCAGTCTGTTCAAAATGTACTTGAAAGCAAGTTTTTAATGGAAAATCAGTTGTGAAGGATTATGAGTGTTAAGGTATATTATGAAGTGAAGATTGTAATTGCATTTACGTTATATGCAAGGCTTCCCGTAAAGAGTGTATTTTAAAATAATAATTTAAATTGTGTAATAATTTAATTTATCTTTTCACTATTTTTTGCCTATAGGTCAATTTAATAAACTGGAAAATGGCATTTCATTTATAATAACCAATAATAAATTGTTTAATTTAGTAGTTGTGTTATAAATCAAAGCTATCTGAAATAAACAATAACACACACACACATTTAATTAGAAAGGGATACATTTTTCAGGATGAATATGGTTAAATTTGATAAATAACCATATTTGAGGCACTTATAATAGTCAATACCTAAAAATAAATCAATAAAGAAACATTAAAATAGTAGTCAAATTTTGAATACCACCAATTTTCAGATAAAATATTTTCTTTTTCAAAATCACCTAAATCAATGGTTATCTGTTGAATATTATGAGTACAATGAGAACTTGAATAATGTAATTGAAAGAAAATTAGCCATAACAATGAAATATCACATTCTGCTATGGAAAATAAATGAAGTTCTTATGCCATTGCCTATACAAACACAATAACTTAAGAAATGCATTACATGTTTAAGATGTACATAAAACAATATAAATGCAATAAAAATGGCAACAGTTAAAGGTTATGGTAATGAATTTCTTATTTGATATCAGTAAATAATTTTTAAATATGTAACATGCATGGTTTAAAAAATGTCAGTAGAGATCAAATAAGAAAATATAGAATACAGAAGAGAAAGGAAAACAGCAACCTACCTTTTGTTTACAAGGTTATCCCTGTATGGGTCCCTTGGCTGTCTTTTCATAATGTCCGATTCAGGAGCTTCATACGCCAGTGAGATGGCAGGCATCTTTGAGCATTAGCATAGACAGACAATGTTAGTCAGACTAGTTTTGACGCGATATTAATAACACAGACACTGGTAACGGTTAAAGAAGCTGATGAAACATTTATAATGAGGCAAGTAAAGGACAGCATATTGAGACACTGAGAAGTAAACCAATGCTAAATTGCAGTTGTTTAAATTGAATTTTTCATTACAAGCTGACTGAACCAATCCATAGGAATTAAAATAAACAAAAATTAAAATGAAAGACAGCAAAGTGCAAATAATTCTAATAAAACAGAAACATACACAAATGAGTGTGGATGTGTGCACGTACACACACAAACACACACATATACATATACAAAGAGTGGGTGCAGGCATAAATATTATCTTACCCATCCAACCTGTAGTTTCTTCACTAATTCCAGAATCTCTTCATTATCACAAGAATGGTTTCAAAATATAAAAAATACACACCAATAAATCATCATGCAAAAATCTGAGAATGTACTTACTGTGGAAAGTTATCTCCAGTGACACGAAACAATTACATACACTTTATAGAGAGAAGAAAGAAAATGAAGTATGGAAAGAAAAATAAACAAAGTGATAGATAGAGAGTGAGACTGACAAAACTGTTTTTAGTACAGAAGTTGCAAAGGAAAAAAAACATTAAAGAGAGAGAGAGAGAGAGAGAGAGAGAGAGAGAGAGAGAGAAAGATAGAGAGAGTGAGAAAGAGAGAAAGAGAATAAAAATATAAATAATAAGATAGTTGATGAAAAATAGAAAAAATGGAATGAAGTCTTCACCAATCTTCATGAGAATTTCACAATGAGCTTAAAAATTACCTTTCATTTACGAGTTTATCAGTGAACGGATTGCGAGGTTGCCGCTTCATGATATCACTTTCTGCTTCTTCATAGGCCAGGGATATAGCAGGAACCTGATTTGACATGGTGTAAAAACATTGTGAAACCACACATAAAAACAAAAAATCAAATAATAAAAGAAAACTATAACTAAATCTATTTGCATTGACACTAGAAAACAAATAAACTAAAAATACTAATTCTAAATAATGTTATGTCATGTTTGTAAACAAACACATCTGAATGTATTATATACAGACACCTCATAAGAAAGTATAAATGTATATGTATTTAACATTTTTAACCCAGGTTGAAAAATTAAAATTAAAGTAATGAGGACCCAAATGTGTTATTGGATTATTGTTTTCATATTCTTGAAAAATAAATAAATAAAGATGCTACAACTATAACTTCAAAAAATATATTTTGCTAATCTAACACTATCACTATACTATATATTATATACACAGTGAAACTTCTATTTAAAAAATGCCAGGGGAACAAAAAATTTAGCCCTTTATTGAGGTTTAAAAATATTACTTATTTTTCTCATACATGAATAAATTTTAAACAGAGTCTGGTTTAAAATTTCCATCATAATTATTGGCACATTATGTGATATTATTGAGTATAATAGACTTGCCAATCACAATATAAAAGTTACATGCTCCGATCCCACAGTACAGCTAAGTTTGACTAATAATTTCCATATATGAGAGGGGGGAGGTTAAGTTGATGACTTTTAAAAAGGGTAAGATTATTAGTAGTAGAATGATATTAGAGCGATTTTCTAATTAAACATAGTTAACACGTCTCCTAAAAAGTAACAATAACTTTATTTATCAGTTATTTTATTTTCCTTTCCAAAGAATTAAAAAGATAAACAATTAATTAAAAATAAAAAAAAAGTCACTTCTAGAACCAGATGGCTGTGCTTAGCTTTAAAAAAACAAACTTCGATAACTTATTGAGGCTCAGAAGACATCTAACGATTAGGGACCGAGGAAACTTGCCATAAATAAGGATAAGTACCATAGACCACTCTACATTCCAAAGCAGATTGTGACTGATATGCATCTTTCAGGTATTGCTTACTGGGCTCAGATAGATATGGAATCCAGGATCTTAAGGTTTTCTCGATTGAATGACTTTTGGTTTTCACTAGAAAATCCAGAAGATTCAAAACAGGAATAATAAGTTTATACATTGATCACTTGGGTTAGGAAAAAAGGACCAATAGGCCAGACTTGATCCTCCACTTTTACCAATACTAACACCAACCACACATTAAACTAGGTTATATAAAGTTTCAATAACCACCAATCTGCACAGTTAAGGAAGAATTTAGGTCTGGTAACAATATTTAAAATTAATGGTTTATGTTATCTTAAATGGCTTTATTTGAATTTTCATTTTCTAACTTAAAACTTACAAAGATTTTGTCATGGAAATGACAACTGAATCAACTTTCAAATGGTGGAGATATTGTTAACTCTAGAACCAATATTTTGAGAAGTGAGGCATATTAAAATAAGTTCTTATTTGTGTTTTATTTTGTCACTGAATGCACCCCACCCCCAATCAACATCTTCAACAAACAATAATTAACAAATAAATCCGCAAAATATAATATTAATCCCTTCAGGCTCAGGAGAGAACTTAGCTTAACTATTTATTTAATTTATATAACTACAACTTTTAAAAACAAGCACATTGATAACGTTCCACAACAGTACGAGTTTATAACAGCAAGTGATATAACAAAGATGCAGGGCAGTTTAAAAAATAAATTAAATTTTATTTATCTTTTTTAATTTTAAAAATTATTTTTACAACACTTTTCCTTATGCACATGTAAATAGCTTCAAAATGAATAAGCCACGATTTGAATGCTTCCACTAATATGTTTGTAATCAAATTCTTATTTCAGTAATGAAATTTTATACTGATCTTAGACATAAACCAGACTTTGAAAACCTATTTAAATAATATTTTCATTCAATATGAAGAACAGATAAAGATATATTGGAAAAAACAAACAATGGAATGGGGGAAAAAAAATGTGTTCAATTTTTTCAAGATTCATAACTCATACATTTGAAAAATCAAGTTAGATAAAATGAAATTACTTATGTACCCATCATCTATTAATTATGTATACTAAAAGAGTTTGTGTTGTATTAACAACTCTATCTAACTTTCGGTGCAATAATCATTGTGTAGTTTAGGTGTATGTTAAGGGAGGTTTCACTGTATATAATATATATATGTACGTTTGTGCATGTGTGATATATAGCTCAATGCATTAAGAAACTAATGCGGTTAACTTTGACATGCAATAATTATATAATATACATAAAAGAGGAAATGAATATCAAAATATTTATGGAAAAAAAAATTAATAAAAAAAATATTCCACTTAGAAAAATGTCTAAGATCTAAGATAAACAAGCTAACAGAAAACTATTACAAAAAAAGTGTAAGAGGAGGTACTAGAACTGTTACTAAAGTTATACTACAGAATATGTACTAAAATAAAATGAAAAAAAAAATGAAGTGCCAATAATATGTAAAAAAAATAGAACTATGTGCAAAAAGCAATAAAAATAAAAATAAAGGAGAACTTGGTTTAAACTTTTCCTTAAAGTATAAGCAAATATAATACCTATACACACAGATGCATATACATAAACGTTATAATATGATTATGTAAATGTTAACATATACTATCAAATTTAACTTATAATATAATTTAATATAAAGAATATAATATGCCCCATGCGTTATTGCTGATTTTTTTATGTGATAGATTATAATGCTTTATTCTTTACATTATTTTTTAGCTTTTTTATTTGTCAGATAGAATATTTTCTCATAGGATATAAAAGAACAGCAGCAGTCAAAACCATAAATAAATGATTAGTTGTGCCACTGATGTAGTAAATATAAAGAGCAATTCAAACTTGGATAGTTCCACTTATATGCATCAACTTATCTGATCTTATCTTATCCTAAAATTGAGTCATACAATGCTTCCTTAAAGAGTAAAGAAAAAAATTTACATAAATATAAATAAAATAATAATAAATCTCTTTAATTATTTGTATCTTATCATGGTTAACTAGACATATGCATCAACTTAATATAGATTTCAACAGTATTAATATTAAGCTGATTACAACTGGTCAGTCAAGATTTTTATTAATGATTAAGCCAAAATTTTAAATATACTTTAAATTCAAGCTGAATACTGAAACATTTAAGGAGCTACTTTGGTAGATCAATACTTTTTGACAAGTTAAAGTAATTAGCAATAGACAAAAATAATACACATAATGAGATAAAATATTTAAAATTATATAATTATATTTAATAAATTAAGTAAATAGTTCAAATCAATATTCAGCTAAACTTTTTAAAAAAGCATTTCTCATGCGTTTTCTATGTAAGAATGTTTAAATCTGAGTTTACCAGAAGGTATCCACATACATATGTGGAACTGCATGTGCATGTATTCATTATAAATAACAATATTTTTAAAGAAAAAATATCACAGATTATGTATATAAGATTACTGCTTTGAAGTTTCATTTTTATGGCTATGCATTAACTCTGATGTTTTACAAAATGATATTTTAAATAATTATGAGGGCAAATCAAGTGAGCTAGAAAAAATATATGGACATTAAAAGGAATATATATATATAAAGTTGAATATATTGTGGACATAATGCAACCACATAAATACTTTGAATTTAAGAAAAGGTAAAGTAGAAAACACAGACATTAAATAATAAAAAAATCAACCAAAGAATGGGCAGAATAAAGGGAAATTACAAGAAAAGGGAGAGCGGTCAACATACAATGATTTTTACTAACTTTGTCAAAAATATATATAGCATTTCCAAGTCAATTTAAACCTTTTCCAAGTCAAATTCAACCTTTTCCAAATCAAATTAAACTTTTTCCAAGTCAAATTCAACCTTTTCCATTTCAAATTAAACCTTTTCTATTTCAAATTCAACCTTTTTTTATTCAATTAATTATCCTTAATTTTTCGATGTGTGGGTCTGTTATCGTATGAGTAGTTTTTGAAAATAACCCCCATTTTAAAATTACGTGACTACGTTTCGAATTATTTAAGTTTTTTTGAATTATTCGATATAAGGGTGTATTTTTATGTTTCCCGATCCGTAAAAAATGAAAATGACATCCATTTTATGTTTTGACTTATTTAAGTTTTTAGAATTTATCCAATATAAAGGTCTACTTTTTTTGTTTCAGGAGCCGTAGATTTTAAAAACGACCTCCATTTTAAGATTACACCACTGCGTTTTGATTTATTTAAATGTTTCGAATTTATTAGGCTCCGGAAACATGAAAGTAGACCTTTATATTGGATAAATTCAAAAAAACTTATGGAGCTTATTTTCATAATTTACGGCTCGGAAAACATAAGAATACACCCTTGTATTGAATAAATCAAAAAAATTTAAAATTTTGATTTTAAAATTTATTTCAAAAACTAGGTACAGGACAGCATAATACTAGTCCCTAATAAATCCGAATGGGTACAATAAATCGATATCTGTAAGTGAAAATTCTATTTAGGAGAGCATAATGATATACTTTCATATTGGAGGGGGGGGGGAGGGATGGCCATTATTTAAAAAAAATATAAAATTTACAAAAAATTAAAACATTAATTTGAAATGAAAATGGTTGAATTTGAATTGGAAAAGGTTTAATTTGAAATGGAAATGGTTGAATTTGACTTGGAAAAAGTTTAATTTGATCTGGAAAAGGTTGAATTTGACTTGGAAATAATTGAATATGACATAGAAATATTACACTGAAAAAATCTAAAATGTTAAAATAAATGGATATGCAACTGTGTTATCAAATTTTTTTTTGTATTTTTCAAAAGCTATGCCTTCGATAATACAATAAGTGGCCTTCATTTAGAAAAAAATCGAAAATTGACAAAAAGTCGAAAGTTGAATTTGAAATGGAAAAGGTTGAATTTGAAATGGAAAAGGTTTAATTTGACTTGGAAAAGGTTGAATTTGATTTGGAAGAGGTTGAAATTGACTTGGAAATGCTATTATTTCTATAAATTACAACAGTTTTGAAATGGGCTTTCTAAGAGAGAAAAAAAAATCCGTGTGGTTGAGTGAATAACTAAACTTCGTATTTTGTAAATAATTTCAATGTAATAAGGCAAAAGCCTCGTAATCAACCCATAGTTTGGAAAACTCTGTTATAAAGCACTGATGCAATGTCTTCTAAATTAGCTTGTTTAATGATAAAAAGTTCTTTTACCCCCTTACAAATTTTGTTTATATTTCTTTACTAAAGGAATAACTCAACTGAGAGATAATATAACAAACAACCAAATCAGAACTACAGGACAGAACTACTTTAGCTCAAATTTGAAAAGAAAAAAAATTGCTTATAAAAAGTTAATGCAAGCAAATATGGGTCAGTATTTATTCTTCCATTATTCACCATCCGATAAAAAATTTTACTCTTTCTACAATAATTTATCTAACAATCAAGTGAACAAGAAAAAATATTACAGATACTGGTTTTAATAATATAATAAACAAGGTATACAATTACAACATTATTATGAAAAAAACTGAAAGAAACTACATCAGAATAAAAAAAATTATAAAATTAAATATTAAAAGTTAATTACGTTTTCTTGCATTTACTAGCAGTTCTTGCAAAATGTCAATAAAAGAAAATAAGAGAATATCGAAGAACTTGAACAAAACCATTTTATTTAATTATTTTTAATATCAATAATTCTAATTTAATCCTAAGACCCAGTATATGTCAGATATTTTTTCAGTTAATGAATATTTTTTTGCATTTCAACAATTCCTTTCAGACATTAAAAAAACTGAATTTTTAAATTAATATATAATTATTACATTGTACAATTCAACTAAATAATAAAATCATCAATGATAATAATTTTGAAACTTCTCAAGTAGAACCAACAATAATAAAAACTTTTAAATGAGGAATTTCAGGTAGCTTTTCATTAGATTATAATGAATATATGACCATTTGTATATATTTTGTTATATTTTGCTAGCAAATTTGTGGAGATAATACTCCCTGTTAGATCTACATAATTATTATCTCAATATTTCTTTTAATTTCTATCTCGAAAGCAATTTGAGAACGTATGCATACTGAGAAAAAGCAAAGCAAACCTAACTTTTTTTTTTAGTAAGTACGGTAAATTAAATGACCCTCTGTGTGGTGATGTGGTCCCTATGGCTTATAACAACTTATTATTTTCAGTAAACAACTATATAGTATTACCATTCTTACTCCCATTTAAGACAAGGAACCATATGAAACCTAATGATCAATCCAGTCATCAGCAAGGCTCCATATGACACCAAGAGATTTAGAAACTAAAACCACTTTAACAATTTATCATTATATATCAATGAATGGTAGGAATGAATAGTAGTTTCGTCATACTACTTGACTATAAAAAATGGAAGAGCAAATAGCAGCTTTGACTACTCAGTCAGTTTAATGGAAGCTTTATTTTTGCAGGAAAATTAATTAATTTAATGATAACTTCAAAACAGCAACAAAAATTCTTAAAACCATATGATATTTATTACAATGAACTCACCATATCTGTTCCCAAGTCTATGCACAAGATGGTAACAGTGCCCAGAGGGAGGGGAATATCAAGGAGAATGAATGCAAGAAAAGGTGAAATTTCAGGTATGTTTGAAGTTAAGGTATATGCAATAGATTTTTTCAGATTATCAAAAATCAAGCGCCCTTCCTCTACACCTGTTACAATCGAAGCAAAATTGTCATCCAGCAAAATCATGTCAGCTGCTTGCTTTGAAACATCAGATCCAGCAATACCCATAGCAACACCTATAAATCATACAGCAACAAACTTAATTTCCCATTACTATGATAGAATGAAAAATAATATTTAAATTCAGACAAACCAATGTCAGCCTTCTTGAGCGCCGGGGAGTCATTTACACCATCTCCTGTGACAGCAACTATAGCACCCATTCTTTGGCATCCTTCCACGATTATCAGCTTTTGCTGAGGTGAAGTTCGAGCAAATACTATTTCAGTATGATATCTAGAAAAAAAAAAAAAAATCAACAAAAGAATACATAAAATACGTACTATCAATAATTAAATTTATGAAGATTAATATTATAATATAAAATAAGAAAATATTTCTATTATTTTATAACTATAAACATTAAATGGCATAATTATAAAAAAAAAAAAAAATATTAAACTACTAGAAATAGTCATTTTCAGAACCACTAATTTCTATTCTTATTTCTTTCATGGAATATGTAATAACATATACCTCAATATTTCATCAAGTTGATCTGGACCTGTGTCTCTTAATTCAGTCCCATGAACAACTGCAGCTTTTGCTTCTCTGGGGTTTACTTCTGATACAGGGATATTTAATCTCTGTGCAATGTCCTCAACAGTTTCATTACCTATCAATGAAAAATAAATAAATAAAAAACTATTTTTTAAAAGAAACAATATCTTTTGTTTAAAAACTTGAATAAAAATTAAATTCAATGTTTTAATTCATCAGGGGTTGATTATTCATTTAATCAATCAACACTTAGAAATAATTATGCTGTTGAAAACAATTTTTAAAATAGGATGCAGTTGTAATATTAATGTTTATTTCAAATGAAAAACACAAAACATTTATACAAAAAAAAAAATCATAGTAGCTCAACCTAATGGCCATCAGATTGCAGTTAGTTGTTACTTACAATTGTTAAACTATGCAATCAAAACGGTTATGAAAAGAGATCTTGTTCTATTGATCGTTCTATACATCATTCATATAAAAAATTTATCTAAATTTTTTGAGGGTTCATTAAATATATTATCATAACTTCTAAAACAATATTAAATTTATCATTTTCTTAAAACGAAATATTGTCTTACAATAAAGAAATTATTAACATACCTTCTGATATAATTCCAACAGATTTAGCAATTGCTTTAGCTGTTATTGGATGGTCTCCAGTTACCATGATAACTTTTATCCCTGCAGAACGGCACTTAGCAACTGCATCTGGTACAGCTGCTCGAGGAGGATCAATCATAGACATTAAACCCACAAATCTCATTCCATTAAGTGGGAAGTTTGGTTCATCACAATCAAATTTAAAACCTAAGGGAAACTTATCAGATGGAAGCATCAGATCACAAAAACCTGAAATATAAAACAAGTAAATAATTAAAAGAGGACAACATTTTAATTAACTAAGAAGTATGCAAAAGTAATTGATTTTTTTAAAAATTAATAAGTGTTTGCTAAGAGAACACCAATTTTGTTCTAATTGTCGAAGATGTACAACTTTTCTCAAGTGTTAGCATTTTAGGGCAGGAAGAAATAAAAGGGACACTTAAATGGGCAAAGTAAAAATTAAATAAAAGTACTTTTTCAAGTTTTAATGAAACTAATTTAACACAACTTATTTTTTACCTGAATCAATGATTAAGCTAAATTTAATATAATGTAATTTAAAATAAAAACATACCTAAAACTCGTTCTCCTAATCCACCAAGTTCAAGATAAGCATTGTTGAAAGCTTCCTTCATTTCCTCATCCAATAGTTTTTCTTTACCACCAATAAAAATAGTTGAACAACGATCTAATATTCTTTCTGGGGCTCCCTTCATTACCATTAAGTGACGTGGATCATTAGGATCTTCAGTTTCATGAATTGAAACCTAAAAATGATATACTAAATGAAATAACAATTATATAATTATCTAATTATAACTTTATATACATACACCCAAGAACAGAAATATATATATATACATTTTTTTTCAGTTGGTGCTTTAGACCATGTAGATCTTTAGCCGCGAGATGTAGTCTCCTTATAGACATGCTTGTGGGAGAACAAATAACCTGGAAGAGGTCACCCAGTCTCATATTGCTACAGACCATGGTCTCCGTGGTGAAGAGGCAGGCTACCTATAGCTCCATAACAGATCCCATTGGGACAAATTTGCCAATGTCCTTCCCACCAATTCACTCGGGTTCAAGGACAGTAAGAAATTCATATAAATCCATGTATTATACGGGGGCATGGTATATGGGGGCGTCTCTGGGGATCTCGAGGCGAAACTAAAACGTTTGATAAATTGCTTCGTACGATTCATCTTCGGAATCCCAAGAGACGCTCCTGTTTCCTGTTTCTATGAAGAGTTGAAGTGGCTTTATCCTTCCAACCACCGTAAGTATTTCCTGGCATCCTTCCTCTTCCAAGTAATTCACTCCCACCGTCCTTCATACATCGCCGAGCTCCTTCAATTTAAATCCTCTGTACACTCCCGCAATACCCGTTCCCGGTCCTCAGATCTATGTATAATGGCCCACCGAACCGCTGCTTTCGATAAATCATTTATTATTCGATCCTCTTCCCTATGGAACTCCATCCCTCCCCACATCCGTCAATCCAAAACCCTTCCTACCTTTAAATCCCAACTGTTTAATCATTTCTTATCCATCCAGTCCTCATCATAAAATTGTAAATAGTTACTACTGTAAATATGTATATAAATTATTAGATCGTTCTTTATTATTTTTACTTCATGTTTATTTTCAATTTTTTATTTTTATTATTAACTGATGTAAATTAGAAAGTAACTTATAATTTCTCTAAATATTTTTTTTGTTTACTATTTAATCAAACTATACTCTTGTTTATGTATCTCTGAGGCTCCTTAGCCCACATTTTTGTTTCTCTGTATTATTCTAAAGGGACTCGTCCCATAATAAATAAAGCATTATTATTATTATTATTTTCATTCTTTATTCTCGCTTTGAGGGGTAAGTTTCTGAGGTGGGAGACCAGAAGTGCAGCCACTTCAAATTAATATCTATTACTTTTTAGATATTTAAAAACTTTCGAACAATACGTGCTGTATCCAAGAGAACTGAGTGTTGAGCCTCTTTCAGCACTTCAAGAGGTAATTTTAATCCCATCGTGCCTGCCACTGTTGTCTTTGGTATCAATCCATTGGAGGATATTATAATTGGAGTGATGGTGGAGTGGTTATTATTATTATTATTATTATGGCTTTCCAGGGTCAGCAGGCTCACAAAGACCTGCATTTCTTTCCCTAAAACAGACCATCCATGAACCAGACCTCAGGAGGGCTACTGACATCCTAGAAAACCACGTCTCGATTCCCGATTTAAGTAAATGGGGTAGGGGTCATTAGCTGGTGTGAGATGCCTCCTGCAGGCTGACAGGTTTACTTTGATTACCTATTGCAAGTACCTTAGCCTGCTCGGGTATTCCAGGTCTATATATATACCTTATATGTCAGCATTAAAATTCACTGAATAAGTACATAAATAAAATAAATTCATATTATTTTGCAATAATATTCAAAAAAGTTTAACCATTAATCATAAAAATTAACTGAATTTAAATTAAATGATTTTGAAAACTACAATTCCAGTAATTCATATTTTGAAAAAGTAAAACTGGCTAATGATTTATTTGCTTACTTGATATTTGTTGGTTGAGTTAAAAGGAATTTCACAAACTTTCCTGTTACGTCTACGGATGGACATTACATCTCCTAATGCTAATTCCATACATTTTAGTAAAGCTGCTTCAGATGCATCACCATTAACTTCCCTATAATAAATAATTGTGCAGTAAATATCAATGTGATGGAGTTGTTACTTTCCATATAAAAAACAGAAAAATAAATTAAATATTTATTTTAACAATTTAGTTTAATTAAACACGAATTAATATGTCCATGATAAGGGTATAAATATAATTAAAGTGATCTGCCTTAAAGTAGACGATTTAAGGGATTTTTTAAAATATTATAAATTATATTTCAAAAACAAATTTTTATATAATAAAAAAATCTCATCAAACCTCATGTTGGAGATGCAAAGTACTGTAATAAAAGACCTGCATCAGGGAGAGGGCAGCTATAAAGCATATTTGGAAGGAAATCACAAAAAAAGAATTTAATTTAGCAGGTGAGAGTGGATAATTAGTATCGCCTGGATATGAAGATCTTAATTTTCCAAAAAATAACTCTTAAAAATCAATTAAATCTAAAAAAATATCTTAAACAATTTATTCCTAATAGTATATAATATACAATAGTATTTATAGACTAGAAAAAAAAATGTAAATAAGCACGGTAAAACTGAGTAGGTACATTAAATCTACAAATTAATTTAATTTACAAAAATCAAAATATAAATTTCTTGATTATTTGGCCAAATTCTACAAAATCAATTTGTTAAAAATGGATAGCATGAAAATTAATCCGATACCACGTTATTGGAGATTTTGGTAATGGGGAGGAAGCCTTTTCATTTTGTTTCAGAATATTAACAAAGAGAATTATCTATGCTATGTATTCTTATATGCTGTAAAGTATTAAATTAGATAAATACCGTTTTTCTTCTTTTTATGGCTATTTTTTTTATTTAACCAACAATTTAAAAACACTCATGAATAAAACTGATTTGAGGACAGAAAAATAATTGATTTTGTATGTAATCATACAACAGTGCGAACTACACTGAGATATGTTAAAAAGTCATCAAAGTAAATTTAGAGTTTAAATAATAAAGCATTGTCAGAGAAATAATATAATAATGAAATTACCATTTCATAACAAATGTAAGAATAAATGTTTTTGTCTGGAAGTATCTTTTATTCAACAATGAAATGAAAATTAAAAAAATTCTTTATCATTCTAGGACCAAAGTCTCTTTAGAACAAAATTAACTGAATATCACACAGTGGACAAAATAATTCATATCTTTATCAAATATTTTTGTGAGGAATTACCTTTGGACATACTGTACACTGAAAATAAGCAATTATCATTGCTAAATACAAAAATATCAAGCACAAAACAAAAAAGGACAGAGGGATAAAGTCCAGTGTTTAAGAGAACATAAGTATTTTTGGAATTAAAAATCACATCAAATGAAACACCACCCGGTGCAAATATCCAATCTTTCTCTGCATTAAAGAAAGAAATTAATAACTTTCTCACAATCATAACACAGATTTTTTTTTTTGATATTACTAACTAATGTTTTCTAGACAAATCTGAATATTATGAGGATCTTGCTAATTTTTTGCTTTTAAATTTGAATTAAATTGATATAGCTGGATATTTAATTTAGCTTAAAAGCATATATAATAATTTGTGAATATATTTAATTCAATTAAACTCTGAATGAAATTGTTTTTGTTTGAAATTGAAAAAAAAAAATTATTTTATGGCAAAATAGATAAAAAAGATGTCAAAGGATTTTATATTTTAAACCTACTATCCAAGATTGGCATAGATCTGTTGAGAACTCTGTTTTCCCTTGACCAGAAAAAAAGGTATAATAATCAGTAATCGATGTGGAGGCAATAACAAAGAATTTTTCAATTAGATGTTGGGAAAGAATACTATGGAAATATTGTGAGAGGGTCTACCTATAACTTCTTTTGGTAGCATTTATTCTGTTTCAATTCTCAGATTTTGGGGTTTATCCAGGCAGCAGGAGGATGTCAGAAGGTGAAATATTGGAGAAGTGAAAGTTGATTTAGGAAAATAAAAAGCTTAGACAAGAAGTATTTCACTATCTCATCAAGGGAGTGGAAGGTATAGACAAGTTTAGTGGATTAGGATAATGAAAAGGTTGATTATTTGTGATGGAAATATTATAGGAGATTTGAATAAGATTGTTTATGAAAGAAATGGAATGAAATTTTGAGAACATGAAAGAATATTTTGAGAAAGATAATCAAATAGAAGGCCAATCAGTGTGTCTGAAAACTGAGTATAAGTAGGTTGGAAGGGTATAATAAATAGGTTAAGGGAAGATTCCTTGTCAACCAGATATTTTTTGTTAAGAGTTTGTGGAGGGCAGTATACTAAGAGGTATAGGAGAGAAAATCAGTTTGAGGATATTTATGTAAATAGGTACTCTAGGAAAGGGATGTGAGGGAAGATTTGAATAGGATTTAAAATTCCAGGCTGTCATGGATGAACATACAGACTCCTCCACTATTTTTTCTCCATCTACCATGATAGATGAGTGAGTAATTTGGAATAGTTATGGAAGAGAAAGAGATATATTTGGCTTAAGCCAGTTTTTTGAGATGGAAATAATATAATTATGCTATGTATTACAAGTAGATCAAAATAAGTTTAAAATTTAATATTATAAACAAACAGGACACAGTTAGGAAGGAAAGGGTCTATCTGCCCAACATCAGAAAAAACATCTCTATGGTTGATTTCAGTTACTTGACTGTCAGTTCACACTAATAGTGCAAAGTGGATCAGTCCCCATTCTGTTGAAAGAAGACCTACCAGCCATATCGCCATTCGTGAAAGCTTTTAATTAAACTGTTATAAATTATTTGTAGAAAGAGTTTATCGTTAACATTCCTGGAAGAAGCTCCATAAGTCACAATGATATGGGTCAGTCAAAATTAAATTGGGGAGTTCTCCACGAAGGCCTATTAGTCTGTTAACTGGATGTGACGAAATATTTCTTCATACATGAACTACTACTGCAATGGGCATGACAACACTTTTCTCATGAAAATTTGCTGTAATATTTTGAACGCATTAAGTTTATGTTTTTGAAATCGGTCACATGTTTTCCCTGGTTAACAGATTAACTTGTTATTGTCATCCATTTAAAGAAGAGTTGAATTGGGAAATTGACTGGCCTACTCCAGGCAAACAATAGGTGTGGCCAAGTTAGGAGTTTTTAAGAAATCCATGCATCCTGGAACAAAAGAGAGTCAAAACACCCTCCTCCCAAAAATTTGGAGACAAATCAGAAACAATCTTTGCCTGTCTCCTTGAAGAGGAAGGGACAAAGGATGTGTATTAATTCTCCTGGAGATGGAGGGATGAGACTTAGACTTAGGCTGCTGCAGCTTTATCTTCACAGACCTAGGAGATGGCCTTCTCCGAACTTGGAGGTTGGTACCTCTTGGCACTTTGGTTTTGACTGGATACTGCACCAGAAGAGAGAGATTGATAGAAGAAACCAGACTAGACTCTTGCAGATAAACAACCCTAGCTCATCACATTAGAATATCATCAGCTAAGTTATGCATAGACAATGTTTTTACTTTCATTTTCAAAAGCAGTAGTATATTAATGTTAATATATTTTGTGGCAATATTCTAATATAATTCCGGCTGAATCATAGATTTAGTTAGAGTATATTTTGAATGAATAAATTGAGTTTTTTAATAAGGTTGTAGTTAATTTCTGCCAGCTATGTATACGATAATTAGTACAAGTAATGTATGTAATTAGAAAAGTGACAAACACAAACAAACCTTTGGAAAGGTAATCCAATTAAACCTGGACCAAGTAATATATTATAATAAAAAACATATCAATAGATAAAAGACAAATAAATTTTAATTACTTTTTCAGAATTGGAACTCCTTCTTGCCCACCCTTGAATTCAGCACGATTACAAAGAGTAGCAATCCTGGCCAAAGCTTTGAAACCTGGACTTGTTCTGTCATACTGGACACCTAAGAATTGGATAAATAAATTAAGCAGAGAATATTATGATTCTATGATGTAAATGTAAAATCAGTATAACATCTCTAGTGATTAAAAAAAAAAAAACCCATCTATATACTCACCTGATTGATCTTCAGTAGTATCAGCTTCGATAATTTGATTGTCAAACCACATATGAGCTACAGTCATCCTGTTCTGGGTTAAAGTTCCAGTTTTGTCAGAACATATTGTAGATGTTGAACCTAAAGTTTCTACAGCTTCAAGATTTTTTACAAGACAATTCTTGGAAGCCATTCTCTTAGCAGTAAGTGTTAGGCACACAGTGACAGTAGCCAATAAACCTTCAGGAACATTGGCAACAATGATTCCTACACAAATTTTTCATAAAATTCAGTTATGTTCAATATGGAAAATAGCTTAGGATAAAATAGTAACAATAAAGAGAGATAAAAACTTTTCGGTAATATAAAAGCATTTATCTTAAACTTTACACTCAGAAGAGATAAGAATATTGAAATTTATATTCAGACATAAAATACAGAAACTTTTCATATTTAATTTTAGTTAAGTTTATTATTGAGAATTTATAAGAGATTAAATTACACACATCAATCACTGAAAAAAATATTCAGTTTATTCAAATAAAATAGAATAGAAATAGAAAAAACAAATAAATTACATTACATAGATACAACTACAACCCATGAAGGGTATTGAATAGGGGGATACTGTATTTTGACTGAGATATTTTCATCTGTCAAGTATTTCAATAAGCTATTGAAGAGTCACACACTGATAAAGATAAATAAATGAACAAAAACATTAAAATTGTATTTCCATTAGGACTGTACAATGAAAACAATATCGTGATTCCTATCTAACTGAAATATTGGCATGGTACATAATAGAACATTAACTTCTTTAACATATATTGGGGGTTCTATTATAATCCATTTGTAATATTTTACAAACTGACTGCAGCTCAAATATTACTACATTGCTACTATAGCCAGAATTATAATCTAATCGCATAGCTTAAGTCAGTTAACCTTTACTCCATGAAAAAATATGGCCATAAAAATAAAGATAAGCCCTTACAATACAGATGGAACACTTTGGTCACCATATTTGGTTTAAAAAGAAATATTTATCATGATAGCTCATTTCAATCCCATTTTCTCATTCCATGATTCTCAAATTTATTAAGATAAAACTAACAGCTATTTGTGTTTTCCTATCTGGACAATTTACAACATTATGAAAAAGTCTAGAATTCTATATTAGATTGAATATATTGAATTTAAGATACTTTGGGTTCAGAAATATATAGGAATCTTATAAAAAAAAAATCTCTGGTTTTATACTATTGCCTAATTAATAAATGTGGACAATGGCTATATGTAAAAATTATTTCAGGATTTTTCAGCCTTTAGTTTTACTATTGATGAAATATTCAATAAAAATGAAAACTAAAAAAAATGACATACAATTAGTGGCCTTTCTAAAAAAAAATGTACATGTACCAAACAATAGAATTTCTTCTTTCACATGCCTAAATTTCTATATCTTCCTCCTCTCTCTAAGGCAATTATTCTTAAACTATATTAAGTAATATTCCCCGAGTTAACAAAACAATGCAAATAAAGTAAAATAAACTTAAGTGAAATTTCATCAACATTAAACAAACATTGGTCTGACAATTAAATTAAATATTAACATACTATAAAGTACAAAATGAATTAAAATCTAAGTCAAATTCTTACCAATTAAAAATATCACAGCATCCAACCAATAGTAACCAAGAATAAAAGCAATTATAAAAAATGAAACACCAAGAAAAACAGCAACACCAGTGATAATGTGTATAAAATGGTGTATTTCTTTTGCAATTGGTGTTTCACCAGTATCTAAACCAGATGCCAATCCAGCAATCCGGCCCATTACAGTATTATCACCACAGCTAATAACAACTCCCTTTGCAGTACCTGAAATAGAACATTGAAAGAAAATTGTAAAATAAAACAATACTAATTGTCATCTAATACGAGCAAATGAATATATTAAAAAAAATAATGCTGTCTCAGCAATATTATTTTACCATCAGGTTTTAATTAATAGAACCCCTCCTGGGGGGAAGAGGAACAGTTATTGGCATGTTAACTGCCATGTGCAGAGGCCTATCACCAAAATGTCATATCTAATAAACTCTATTATGCAAAAAAATATTATTCTCATATCGAGGATTTCGGTGCCATTAGCCACAGTGATTAAATCGTGTCCATAAATTATTGTTTTATAGTTGGTTTATATCTTCAATTTTGTGGAAAAAAGTGAACAACATTGAGTCATATAGTTAAAGAATAAGTGCGTGAATTTTAGAAGAGAAGCTCTGCAGTATAGTGAAGTATGAGTGAAGGATACTGGGTGAGTAGAAGCTAGCCTTTCATAGTTGTATCCAGTGTGCACACGCCAATCCCCACTACTGTAGTTCTATTATCTATTAATTGGCCTTGGCCGTCAGTTGGGCTTTGTGCTATCATTTGTTAGTAATGCTCTTCTGTAAGTTGTTACTTACGCATTGAAAACTGGGCATAAAGAAAAAAAAAATCCTTGTTATAAATTTAAATTACCAATTAATATTGAAATAACGAAACATGGCTCAGATAGGAAATAATAATGCTTTAATGTCTGGTCTTCTATCAGAAAGAGATTCTATAAAATCCACTTTTAAGTAATTAAAAGTGTGAAATAAGCTACTGAAAAGGGAAGTAAAATTTTTAAAACAACAATTACGTAAGAACAACTTTGTTATTCATAATATCCCCAATACAGATGATGAGAACACACTGGAGAAAGTAAAAACAATTTGTTCTAGCGTCTATGCAATCTAATCCCAGATTATGCAATTAATAATTGATACCGTCTAGGTAAAGGTCCAATACTAATGTCGCTGAATAATAATATGGTCAAACAAGAAATATTCAATAAACGAGAGGAACTCAGGGGAAAAATATGTATGTTAACCATGATAAATCACCAGAGGAAAGAGAAGAAGGGAAAATAATTCATACCTATCTTACAGAACTAAAATTATTAGTCACTAACATTAGTTTTAAAAAAGTTTTTTCCAAATTTAGAGGTAATCATTATAGGATCGATGAGGTTGAAAATATTTTAAATGTGTCACCGGAAAAGAAATAACCCGACTTGCCAAGTGTAAATGTACTAATAAACAAAACTCAAAAGAAAAGGAAAGCCACAAAAAAAAACTTGATGGGTTTCGATTTCGCCCCAGACTTAACTCTCTGCCTCCCGTACAGCCAGACCGTAAATCATCAACTCAGTGATTAATTTGTTTGTCTGATAGGCCCAGGAAAGTTCACACATTTCTACAAGAGGTAAAAGCACAATAGATATGAATGGGTTAATGAACAATACCTCCCTATAGTAAAAGACATGGAGGTATCTACATTTTTAGGATTTTCAGGCCCAGGAAAGTTCACACATTTCTACAAGAGGTAAAAGCACAATAGATATGATATGGGTTAATGAACAATACCTCCCTATAGTAAAAGACATGAAGGTATCTACATTTTCTGGATTAACTGATCATCTAGCCTGCATTATTTTCTTAAATGATATAGATTACAATACATTTGTAACCAAAAACAATCTCAGACAGTAGCAAAGTACACAAAACGGGAACCGGATATAATAAACTTCTTTCAAAATAGACTAACATTATCACAGCGAATATATTTTAACTCAGAAAACACCAACTATTTGTATGCAAATTTCTCAGCCACAATGACTGGATCCTTAGTTAATGCAGGTTTAATAGTGTATAGGTGTCAGAACAAAGGAAACAAAACTAAATTGTATGATCTTGAGTGCAGAAAACTGAAGACACAACTAAGGAAGAAATATAGAGAAGTGTTAAAATGGAATTTCGATCCGGGTTTCTTAGAAGAATATCTTTCCATTAGAAATACTTACAAGAAATTAATAAAACAAAAGAAGGAATATCATAGAATTACTATCATAAATAAATTAAAATATGTCAAAAACAGCTCTGAATTTAGGAAAATTTTTAAATCTCTGAGACCAGATATATTTGTAACAAATGAAATAGATACGGGCACTTGAACATAATATTACAGATCTTTATATATAGAGGAATCTTCAGCAGATTTTCTATTTTTCTCTGTAACACATCCCTTTCTGGATCAACCATTTTCAACTGAAGAACTTCAGTACTGCATGCAGTGTAGCAAACATAACAAATCCCCTGGACCTGATAAATTGACATATGCAGTAATTAAAAACATGTCACCACAGTGGGAACACTGCTAAATTTGTATAACAATATCATAGACTCAGAAAACCTCCCACTCACATAGTTTAGATCAGAGCTAAAACAGATCTACAAGAAAAGAGATAAAAAGGATCCAGGTAACCATAGGGAAATCTCACTGATAAATAAGATCACTAAACTTTTCAACCTTATCTTAGCGAATAGAATCCAGCATTGGGCAGAAACTAAAAATCTAATTCCTGAGGAACAGGCTGGATTTAGAGAGGGCAGAGGCTGTGTGGAACAAATATTCACACTTATGTCACTAATAAATATAAATCTACAGGCAAAAGGAAGATACGGTTATGCTGCATTCGTGGACTTCAAAAAAGCATTTGATTCAATAAATCAGAACCTTCTGTGGCAAAAATTGTTTTCAATAGGAGTTAGTGGGAAAATAATTATAATCGTTGAACAATTCTATGACCAAGCTACAGTGAAAATCAGTGTAAACTGCAAATATTCTGATGAGATAGAGGTCACCACATTGGGACTTCTACAAGGAGAAAGCCTTAGCCCTATTCTTTTTATTTAATTTATTTCAGACATAGTAAACTTTTTCTGGAACAGAGGAGCAATTGGTGTACCTATTAGCAATAAATGCAAAGTCTCAATCCTCTTACTGGCTGATGATATAGTTCTACTGTAAATCTTGGCACAGTGCACATAACAAACTTCCTCTTGTAAGTCATACAGAGAACAATTTTTAAAGAATTATATATCTCAAAATGATGATCTATCTTCACTGACATTTTAGACTACAACAGTATAAATATAATGAACCATGTATTTCTGTTTCTCGCATCAATCTTGAAGTGCTCTAATTCTCTAAAGGTTAACCGGCTCGAAACGTCTTGATGGGACCTTATTAGTAATAGCAACTAAATTATTATACTGTATTTATAAATATTATTTATTGTATTTATCATTTATTACAGGTATTATATTTATTAATTAGTACGCACAGTATATTTATCTAGATGCAAAGTATAGGTATATATATTTTTCCATAAATATTGAAAGTAAAAAAATGAATATATGTATGTATTGTTATGAAATCTTATATCATTAATGTTATACTTTCTTCGCCATTGCTATTTAAAAAAAAAAAAGTAATAGACATTATTATATGGTAACTTATAAATATTATTTATTATGATATTTGAAGGGCAACCCCAATATGATTCATGTAACAAGCATGTACTGCTTTATACAAAAATAAATTCTATTCTATTCTGTATTATTTTCATGCCTACAGTATCAAGGGAGAAATGTGTAAACATCAAAAGAAAGAAATTGATATTTTTACTAAAAAGAGTTCATATGTAATAGTGTTTTTACCTTAAACTAACTTCAATTTTTTAATTTTTTTTCTCATCAAACCTGGCATGAGCTGAAAATATTATCATGTATTATGAAACCTTATCACTAAAAATGTCATTCCCAATCCCTATGTTATTTAATCAATTTGAGCTTTATACCATCTAACACATTTAAGCTATCCATTTCAAGGAGGAAGAATAAAAACTACATTTATTTTTTCAGCATTAGTATAATATCTCTTATGTTCTCTTTTGTTAGCAAAGTGACAGCCGAAACTGACTTTTCTAACATTCTGAAATGTTCAGTCTAGTTTTAACTGACAAAGTGTGCAGGGAATAGGAAAATATGTATTTTAATATATTATGTCTTAAATATTGTTGACTTTAAAGATGATCGCGATCAACTAAACTTCTCCTGTTCAAAGTCCTTATACGACCAGTTTTGACATACGGATATAAAACATGGACACTGACGAAGACCAGTAAAATATTAGTTTTAAAAAAGAAGGTCCTTTGGAATATATTTGGCCCAGTTAAGGAGAATGGTGAATAGAGAATTAGACGAATATAGAACTTGATACAAGGAGCCGGATGAGGTGAAATATATCCGGATAGCAAGGCTGAGATGGGTGGGCTACGTTGTACAGATAGACAAGACCTCAAACCTAAGGAAGCTGCTCAGCATACAGCTTGGTGGAAAAAGAAAAGCAGACAAACCAAAACTGAGATGGAAAAATGGAGTAAGTGCTGATGCCAGAATCCTTGGAATCAGGAAATGGTGGATGGCTGCTAAGGACAGGAAAACATGGAGGAAGACTGTTGAGGCAGTCAAGATCAAGTAATGGAGTGTTGACTCAGGATGACGATTTAAAGATAATTAATCTTTTGTGATTTAAAATGATAAGTGAAAAATGTTCTGAAGATGGGGATTGTTGCCCCAAAATATCAACTAGTAATTTTAATAATAAAATATATGATGAAAGAATTGAGGCTATTTGGAATGGCAAAGACCTTAGAAAGTAATTTCATTATTCTATGGGAAAAAAACATAAAAGAAGTGGAGCATATCCTTAGCATTGAATACAGCTTAGGGAAACCAACAAACATAATTAAAATATCAGTTTGGACAAAGTGGAAATGTCCACTTTTGATGGAATAAACCATTATCATTAATGATATAAATTGATTGCTTTTATGTTTTTAAGTTACAATTTAAGAAAAATCAAAGAAGTAGGTAGGTAAGAGCTGCAGTCAAAGAGTTGAAACACGCTGCTAAAAGTCCTTATAATTAATTGTGTGCCTATATTTCTATCTAATTTGTAGGTCTTCATCGAGGTTATTACATGGTTTCATTGTGATTAGCAGTAGATGTAATTAGAAGAAGAAAAAACAGTATTATGTTATGTTAAAATTAAATCATAAACTTCAATTGAAAATTACAGCAAAGAATTTATAAGATATTAATCCAAAATGGTGGAATATAAGACATTTACTTTAGCCTATTCATTTGACATTATTAATATATAAGTAAAAAAAAATTAAGGATCAGAGAATTCATAATTAAAAAATACCTTCAACAGCATTAGTAGAGAAAAAGGCAAGATTTTTAGTTTCTAAAGGATTTTCATTTGTAAGTTCAACACCACGACTTTGAGGTTCTGATTCTCCAGTCAAAGATGAATTATCAACTTTAAAACCTCTCGCTTCAATGATACGAATATCTGCTGGAATTCGGTCACCAAATTTGACTTCAACAACATCTCCTAAAACAATATCTTCTGCACGCAGAGTAAGTTTTTCTCCTTGCCGTATCACAGTAGCAAACTAAAAGCAACAAATATTAGGTAAAAAATAATAATATCAGCATTTTGGTTAATTATTAAATCAGTAAGTGAAATATATAAATCACTGGTATCAACAATATAAGATGATCAAAATAGGAAATTCCTTACCTGAGGCACCATATTTTTAAATGATTCCATTATTCTAGAACTTTTGCTTTCTTGATAGTAGGAAAATATACCAGTAACAATGACAACAGCAGCTAAAACTATACCTAGATATAACTGCAAAAAAAGAAAAAAAAAAGCTTTAATGGAGAGTGATTTAATTACTAAATGATAAAGTAAGTTCAAATAAGGAAAGTTTTATTTGACATTGAATACTTCTCAATATAAAAATTAATAAAAAAAATTATAATAACAATTTACATTGATGTTTCATGTTAATGGAGAATAACTTTTATTAAATATGAATTATCAAAGAAATTTAAATATGATAAACCAAAATGTGTACAGAGACCTGCAATTACTGAATCCTGTCCAACAACGATACATCACATATGACAGAGAAGTATCGAAAGCTTTATCTAGTGGTAAAATAGTTTTATTAATATTGTATTCTATTAAAATACACACTACAAGGGCAAGTTATGGATATATAATCATCAACTGTAAGCCTTTGAACAGCAAGCAGAGAAAATATCACAAACCTGTCATTTAGATTTCAATAGTCAAATCAGGATGTACCAGGCTATGAAAAACACTTCTAATATTTGTCCCCAGATTGACTATCTTTCAATGCCTACGACCTTAATTCTTTCTGAAATAGCTGAGTTTGCCTTAGTGTCAGGCAGTGTGCATATGCGGCCAAAAGAAAAGAGCTCAAACAAATCCCAAATGCTCAAACTTCCACAATTCCTCCCAGAAAAACTGTACATTTTGATTGGTCCAGTCATCAAGCCATTTTTCAACATCTTCGTAACTGTTTAAACATTTCATGGGGAGTGCGCGATTATGACAATAATGGGTAGTTGGAAGGAGCCATAAGGGAAGTATGGAGGGGACATAAGTTCCCAACCAAGTATATAAATGATCTCTTTTATGACTTTCGCTCAGTGTGAAATCTATGAAAAATTACTTTTCTGAATCTTGTAGCCTTTTCTGGTCGCTTTATGACCAACGCATGGTTTAAATTGATTGCTTGTTGATGGGGTGAACAGAATCAATTGTTTCACGTAGTGTCATAAGCTCATGGTATAAGACACCCCTCTGATCGCACAAAATTGTTTTCTTACCAAAGAAATTCACTCTTGTGGTCAGAGTTGATGATTGTCCTGGGTCAACCTAAGACTTTCTGAGTTTTAGGTTATACAAGTATATCCATTTTTTGCTTTTCCACTTGTCAGCCGTTCAACTATACCCATTTCCTGCTTTCTGGATCTTTCACATGGTCTGGACCATAAATGGTGATTGGTGACCAACATTTAATCTCTAAAAGCTTTAACTATTGGTAATCATAAAATATAAAAATTCTCGGTGTTTATAGGTCAGACAACTATTAAAATGCTTGGAAATCCATCAGTGAGTGAAAACTGGGTGCTTATTTTTTAAATGTATACACCAAGTACATATGAAGAACCACATTAAATATAATTTAATTTTACATTTAAGTTTAATGTTTATTAAATTGTAACTTTATTTTTATTACTTACTTCCCTCTCTAACATGTCTTACAAATTAAAGACAAAATTTAAGTATTCTATGAGTTAAGTAACACTATGAGATCAACTGTTGAAAACTATCTTTTGACAACAAAGGTAAACTAAATTCCATATTCAGTATCTCTATCTGTCAATTGTTTCCTCATTGATGGCCAGTAATCGTAGGAGTGGACAACGATGTCCGATGCCGTTTATATAACTATTTTTTTATTATTAAGTAAACAAGTGTTATTTTTAAGGATATAAATCATAAATATAGAAAATGAAATGAGAAAAAGTTTATTTATTACATATAATTATAATTTTTATGATATAATTTCTACATTATTTGTGTAATACTTTTTCAATGTCAAGATAAAATTGGAATATATAAAATCGAAGTTACATTATAAGTATCATGTTGTGGCAATGCAAGAAAAATATAGGTATTTGGGTGTTCACTATTACATTTGGATTTATTTTAAGAAAATGAAAAATGAAAGTGAAGCATTAAGTTGCTAACTGCTTTTGTACTGGTTGAAGTGCAGCAAACAGAATCTAGGCATACCGAAACACTGAGTTGCAAATCGATCAGAACTTTGCAATTGATAGGGGTTTTTCTTTTTTCATGTTAAAGATGGTCTAAGAATTGACCATCAATGTTCCAAACATTATCTTAATCACCATGCCTGTGTACTGCCCTGTCACGGAGGGAAGATGTATCGGACGCCAGGAGTTGATACTGTAGGGAAATCATTTTTTATTAGTATGGTCCCCGGCATCCTACAGCTTTGTATCAGATATGATTATTTACGTTTGTATCTTTACATATATCCAACTCCCATTCAAATATTTTTAAAAATGACAAATTTAAAGACTTCGTAAGACAGGCAAAATTCAAAACAATCCTGGCCATTTGGCAGTCAAGAGGAATATCGGACCTCAGGGAGCATAACCGCAGATAGCGTTTTAAAACTAATAATAAATAGAAATTACAGATAGTTTTGAAATATTTTAAGCTATAGACATATAAATTTTAGAAAGACAAACAAATTGGTTACTTTCTAGGTCACTTACATTATCATCTGAGGGCTCTTCAACAGTACTAGCCTGAATTGAATAGGCTATAAAACACAAAATAGCGCCAACCCAAAGAAGTAAAGCAAATCCTCCAAATAATTGTTTACAAAATTTAACCCATTCTGGTGTAGTTTTCGGAGGTGTTAATGCATTAGGGCCATCTCTTTCTAGGTTTTCTTTTGCTTTTGCATGAGTTAATCCCTAAAAAAATAAAAAAGATAAATAATGGAATATTAAAAAATTAATAATAAATTCCAATGAACATTTTCTTGTAATTGAAAAACATAATAAATATATTTCTATTACAATTTTAGTCTGGTTAATTAAACACAATTTTATACAAAACTTAATAATTAATGCCGTTTTTATTCATTAATTTTTCTGTTTTTTTTAATAATTTAATTTTTTACTCGCTAGAAGTTAAAAGAAAATTTAAAGAAACCATTATTTTACAAATAATAAGCACTATTATACTAGACTATTTGATAGCTGAAATTTCTGACTTCAGAAAAAACAATCGGAAAAGGATAAAAAAAAAATTAGTTCATTATAAAATGAAACAAGGTCTTTAAAGAGAGAAAGAAGAAAAAACAACTTTTTATTTTTAATCTGGCTTATACAGAAAATGAGGATGTTTCCTCAAAAGTAATTAATGTGCGTCAGGAAGCTGATGTAGAATTACCAACGTATGTCATAAATAACTGTTTTCGTATTGGTAAAAGTCTGGAACCAAGACCAATCTTGGTATCCCTTAACAATAAATTATCAAACAGGCTGTAATGAAGAGAGATGACTTAGCAAGAAAGAGCTACAGCTTAAGACAGAACAGGTCACCAGAAGATAGGGAGGAGGACAGACATTTTTTTTCTTGTTTGAATTAATTAAAAAATATAGAAAAAAAATGCGTCCTACAGCAGTAGAGGGTTCTTCAAAGTTAGAGACAGTCAATATCGCTTGAAGGAGGTAGAAAATATGGTGGAAACTATGCCAATGATTGATTAAGAAGACGAAAAATCCATTAATCACAGAAAAGAAGAAAGATTAAAAGAATTCGAGTTCCGGCTTAGATCCAGCTCTCTGAGCAGTCACCCTTCAGAAAAAGACTCCTGAACTGACAACCTTCATCTGTCACAAAAAATTCTAGACTGCCAACATCATTTTAGTAATTATACGTTTTCTATTAACCCTACTAACACAATATCTAATTAGGATTCTAGACTGCCAACATCATTATAGTAATTATAAGTTTTCTATTAACCCTACTGAAATAATATATAATTAATTGCTGTTACATGAATATGCGTATTTATTCATAAATAGCAAATATTAATTAGGATGCCCTTTAAAATAGCATCACAATAACATCCGATAATATTCTTTTATTGTATCTATAAATTTTAAATTCTAAAATGTGTAATATTTGTTTTAGTTAGTTATATTTTGCACAGTCAATTTTCTTTTGTAAACATGTATTACTATTTACTTATTTCTTTTTTCTTATTCTACTTATAAAATTAACTCCTACTAACACTAATTGGGCCGGGCTCCCCAGGATATATAAATCCTTATACTATTATTATTTATATTATAACAATAACAATACATATATAAGTAGTAATAATGAAATGAGAAAAGATCAAAATTATTTTTTTACTGTTTCAGGATGTGTTCCAAAACGTTGATACAATTCTTCAACTGATATTTTATGATGGTCGATATCTAATTCCTGTTTCAAATCATCTAGGTCTCCTTTTCTTTGTTTCTTCACAGGAGGTTTTCGTCTTGACTGAAAAAAACAAAACAAGAGATTGAGATAATCATACAAATGCAAATGAATGTTTATAGATATTGTGTAATGTTTAATTCAAAATTATTAATAATAAAAACTTAAAAACATTTAATGTAATGCACCACATAGTATCAATTAACACTTTACAGACCACTGGGTTTCCAATTAGGAACAAATGTCGAGGAAATTTTTATCTAAAAGTAAACACTTACTTAATATTCTTACAGGCTTGAATTAAGTCAGAGCTTATTTTAAAATACAAAAACTAATCAATTTTTATCAAAATTTAGTTACTTATATATTTTTTAATAAATATATAAGTAACTAAATATTAATAAATGAAATATGAATATTAAAATTTTTCTTATTTATTTCTTTTTATATGTAAAGTTTCAATTTAATTTCAGCAGCAATATTTTATTAGCAGTAGAAACTATGTGTACTACAGCTATGAGAGATGTTTTCCAGACATATTCCCAATTGGGAACATTGGCCAGGTCTGACTTACTTGAGTGCAAGTTTTGACTTACTCCTCTTTTACCTTCTTTTAAATCCACTAATTATTTTAATAGCTTTTAAAAATGTTAATATTAATGCATTTATGGCTCTGTTTATTAGATTAAATGTCATCTGAGCTGAAAAAAAAAACCTTTTGGGCGAATCTGTACATTGCTTAAATAAATTAAATCATGCTCTAGTTAATTTTTGATGGGTGCTTCTCGAAGAAGTAAATATATATTTAAAAAAAATGTGTGCGTGTAGATTAAATATACTAGTGAAAAATGAAATTTCAATGATTTTAATTATTATTAAGAAAATAGGGATGTTTAGAAGTGATAATCAACAAGAAATTTGTGACGTGTAAGAGGAAAAGTGTTGAATGAGATTCAGGGGATTATTTAAATAAAACCTCAAATTAATACTTGTTTTTTTACTTAACAGACTTATTTCTTGTTCATTAATTAAAAAAGAAATTATTAAATTGGTAGATCTCTCATTGATAGATTTCTCTCCTGTCAACTCAATAGTTGTTTCATGCAATTCAGAGTTTACTTTTTACATAAATACTAGAGTTTAATTAACATTTCTATATTAAATAATGTTCATTTCATATTTTTTTTATTCACATACAAAATAAAACTTTAATATAGCCATTTAAATTCTGTTTTATATTAACATTATGAAAAATAAGTATTAACAGGGTTGTAAATATTCTAAATAATAGTTTTTCTTATGCATAAAAAAAAGTATTAATTAGATTATATTTTGTTCCCAAGAGTGAAAGAGGAGGAAGCAGATGGAGAGATAAGAAAACAAACACCTAGGAAAGATAAATAGAAAGAGGGAATAAATAGAAACCATATACAGTAATAATGAAGAATAAAGCATAGAAAAGTTATCAAAGCAGGTACATCAATAAATATGAGTGGTGATTTTATTCAGTAGTTGAAAGTATAAATTAGAAGTTTTCATTGAAAGCTAAGATTAGTACCAACACCTATATAAATACAATTGTCTTCCTTAGAGATTTCATGCAGATTATCCCAGGATCCCAGAAAGAATTTCAGATCAGCAAAGTGAACAAGTGAATTCAGATCTAATAAAATTAGATCTAATAAATACCTTGGCCTTTCCATCTGCTGTTTTGTTGTCATCACTAAGTGATGGTAGAGTAGCTACACGATATGAATCTGAACGGCCATGCTATAATATTAATAAAAAAACAAAACAAAAAAGTTATTGTAAAAATGTAGATTAAAAAATGAAATAAATAAAATAGTAAAAATTAAAATAAATAAATATCAATGAAAAAATTATATATTTACATTTAACACCGTCAGTTATAAGTTTAATATCAACTCAATGTTTTGTGAAAATTTGATTAACTTTGAAATAAATAAAACAAAACTAAAACCATTTTTCAAATGAAATTAATATAAAAACATAAAATAATTCAATTTTAGTGGAAAAAGTAAAAAAAAAAATTATATTTCTTTCATCAAAAATTCTCCCTTGATTTCAAAGACCTCTTTGGCCACCCATAGCTTTATTTGGATGTGTTGGCAAACTTCTCAAATCACTTATTATCAAGAACTTTTCAGAGGCTCCTTAATGATTTTCTGTGAAGTTATTGCGTGACACCAGGCTTTTTTATCAAGCTCTTTGCACAGCAGGTTGATCATATTAAGTTCGGGAGATTGAGCAAGGCTTAAGTTTTTCAAAACACCTTCATTGTTTTATAGTTGTAAATATCCTTCATAAATTTTATATGAATGTTTCAGATAATTATCCTGTTTAACAAGCCTTCTCTATCTCTACCTTGCACCTTTCTTGAGCTATTTCTATTGTTATCTTCATGTAGCACTCTTGCACCTTTGTTGATGTGATCTATCCATCTGGTTTTTGGCCTACAACATGTTCTTTTGCTTACTATTGAGGCATTCATTGTTGTGTAAAGGCTTCCTGATGGATTACTCTGAATTATACACCCCACCAAACTTTATTGGTCTGATCCCTTAGGTTAGTTCTGAGGGTCTTCTTACTCAAGGGAATTTAATAGTTTTTCTAACAACTCATTTATACAAGATATTATAAGGTAATTTGTATTTATAGTGTACCTACGCTTTGTGTAAGTAAGGTTTTGAATGATTAAATCATATTTATCAATATAAATAACAGGTGATCTTAAAATTTTGACTGGAATTGCACTAATGTACACCTATAAAATGAAACTTTTTTTTTAAATATTATTTTCATTGACACAGTAACCCAGTGAAATGATAAAATAAAAAACCTGCACCACTACAACCCATGAAGGGTCTGGGGTTCAACACTATTTAGGGAAAGCACTGTTTCTAGGTCAACAGTTGTGCAAGGAGGTAATTTGACCGAGATCACGCTCAACCGCCAGGTTTTCCCCCTTAATCAATTATTTAAATAAGGGTACCCACTTTATAGAGGCTGGGTGTGCCCCAGGAGGGTTTTCCGACCCAGGGTCGCCCCACGGTCAATGAAAACAGATAAATAAATTTTCTGCAATGAGCCGGGGTTCGAACCTGGGACCTTTGCATTGGAAGCTCAGTGCCCTACCACTGAACTACCCCACTCCAGTGAAATGATACCTTCAACAAATATTTCATTATCTAAGGATAACCTAATGTCTTATCTTAATATTATATTTTAGAAGAAATCTTCAGGACAATGTTTTTCATCGATTAATCGTGAAATCTCAACCTCCTTTAATGCTTTATGAATCCATTGCTCATATTTCATTTACATTTTTTGATCTTTCGAGGTCTTACAACCAATCACATTGTCTCTAAAAATCAAATACAATTAAATGAATTTAAATTTTTCCAATCATCACATGGTTTTAGTAGATAATATTTGTTTGAGTTCTAATAGGAAATCTATATAGAGACCTCGTTACCGATTAGTGACAATGTCCCACTGTTGCCTGTAATCCAGCTTTGGAGGCATCAAAGTAGAATGTTTTCAATTTTTCTGCAAAGGTTTGTCAAAAAACCGAAACTTTATGTGAGTGTATTAGTAATAAGATTTAAGATTTTAAAAAATTACACCACAAAATGAAAATCTGAAAAATTAAAAAATCTTGGGAAAAAACATTTATTTAGGTAATATATTATTATTATTTAAATCCTGTGAAAATACTATCACAGCAAAAACTGTCGAAAATATCCCTAAATGAAATATACCACAAAATTTGATAACTATAATACTTTTGAATGATTTATTTATTTCTCTATTTCATTCACTTGGTTCATGTTCATATTGAACAACCCATTGAATCAAGCTTAAAGGCTATGATAATAATTTTGATGACTCAAGATGTTTTAAGTGATGTATGGTGTATGCTTAGAAGTAGATGAATGAGTGAATAATTTATTTACCAAATAAAAGACGAATTTGAATGGAAAACACTGATAGTTTTCTGAAATTGGAAACAATCAAATAAATATTTGAATTTTTGTATCAGATACAATCGCACATTGTTGCAACCCAAAGCAGGATAAGGATTGCCATGACACAGCTGTAAACTTTGGGACCTTCACAATATAGAATGCACAATGCCTGAGTAGTGGTACAAATTTATCTAAAGGAAATCTCCAAACCAACAGCTAAAAGTCCAAGAGGGTTCGGGTTCCACATAAACTAAGAAAGTCCATAGAAAATGAACAAGGATGCAATTTAGCTTTATGTCAGCACCAGAGAAATTTTAAAGATTCGTGGATAATTTGCTACAAGGGATACCTGGTGTTGATGATCAAAAGGAAGACAAGAAGCGACCAAATATGTTCACCGAATGAAATTTTCTGAAGAATAAATGAATAAATCTTGGCTTAAATTGGAAAACAAATTAAATGTTTTTTCAATAATCATTCATTATTTAGGTCACCATTTTGACCAAAATGGGGTATTCATCACTTTTATCAAATAGTTAAAAATATTCAAGCTATTCTGATCCATTTCATAAGGTTGACAATATACAAGAAAAAAAGTTTCTGAGATTTACTAAGACTGACATTACTACTATAGTGAAACTGAATAACTTCAACAGAGCCAATATTAAAGAAGGTGAAGGTTTTCTATTCACGGTGACCTAGAGAAGTGGAGGAAGTTTGTGAACCTTACTGAACCAAGACAAATATTTAATCCTAACAAGAAACTAATTGTCAATAGAAACATTAAGACAGCTATAATAGCTGAATTTAAAATCTTGTTCCTAACAAAATTATAGAAAATGGAAAGAATAGTAATATTATTACAAGCACAGGTCTAACCAAGAATCTAACATTAAAAAATAACAACTGAGATGGTTCAGTAAATTTATGGAGATGTGTTGATAATAGAATAGTCAAGGTTACTAAGGTTCAATATCACCAACTATTCAGAAGGCTACAAGACAGCTAATATGAATGTATTCATTGGAAAATAAGCCAAGAAAAAAAAAGGCCCAAGATGTTGAGGCAGTTTTTTTTTTTTTTTTTTTTTTTTTTTTTTTTTTTTTTATTGAATAATAATACAATCAGCCACTGTTGGAGGGCTATAAGTATTAAGGCTAAAAGTTCTCATTCATACAGTATATACAAGTAATACAGAAGTAACTATAAATATAAAAGTAAATAAATAATACTTATAAAAAAAATGTAAATCAATAGAAAAAAAAATAAAATAAAATAAAAAAAATAAATAAACAAAATAAAATAAAAACTTCTAAACACATTCATACCTATACAATATATACATTCGCCCAGGAATCTCCGAGCCAGGCTTTTCTCCCCACATGTGGAAAGCAAAGCAGGACTCCAGAGATCCCAGTGCCACTTTTCCAGCCGCATCACTAGTATTAAAAGCCAGTGGAGGCTGAAGGAGGGCACTAGAGCCACAGATGCTCAGGACTTGAGTGGAGAAGCTGGCCATTGCCAGGACTCCAGAAGCATATTTACAATAGATCTCGCGGCCACTGCCGTTTTAACCTTCGAGGGGGATTGTAGGGATGGTGGGAGCTGGATAGGGATTGAGCTAGAGGATTTGGATGATGGATAAGGTTCTGGTGAAAGTTTGAGAATCTGGATGGGATGATGTCGAGGACAAAAGGGATGTTAAGGTCATGGTGTAGGGTCTTATTTGTGACATAATATGGGGCATTGGCTATTGTTCTAAGTACTTTGGACTGGAAGGATTGGATGCGTTTGATATTCGAATGTTTAGCAGTTCCCCACAGTTCAAGTCCGTAGGTCCAGATAGGTTTCAGTATTGTCTTGTAGATTAAAAGTTTATTTTCAATCGAAAGATGAGATGTCCTGCTTAGTAGTCTATATAGCTGGCCATATCGTTGGTTAAGTTCTTGTCTTTTAAGTCTCGTATGTGGGTTCCAAGTTAGTCTTTTGTCTAGAAGGAAGCCAAGGTAACGGACTGTATCTGAGTAGGGAAGGGGTATTGAATTGAAAAGGATTGTGGGACAGGATCTGCGTCGCAGAGTGAAAGTAATATGTTTACATTTTGCTTCATTGATTTTAATGCGCCAGTCGTTGCACCACTGCTCAATCAAGGAGAGGTGAGATTGTAGGTTTTGAGATGCTATTTGAGGATCTGAGTGGGAGGATAGAATGGCAGTATCATCGGCAAATGTAGCTAGGAAGGTATCGGGATTTGGAGGGATATCGGCAGTGAAAAGGATGTAGAGAACTGGACCCAAAACACTGCCTTGTGGAACACCAGCCTCAACTGGATAGTAAGTGGAGAATTCGGTGCAGCAACGGACTTGGAAGGAACGATTTGAGAGATAGGATTTGAGGACTAGGTATAAGGATTGGGGTAAATGGGTTTTGAGCTTGAAAAGCAAGCCATCGTGCCACACCCGGTCGAAAGCTTGCGCTACGTCCAGAAAGGCACCAGTGCAATATTGCTTGTTTTCAAGTGCAGAGGATATATGGTCCACAACACGAAGGCCTTGTTGGACAGTGGAATGTCTTGAGCGGAATCCAAATTGATGAGAAGGGATGTTGTGGGATTCGAGTATGGGTAGGATGCGTTTGAGGAGGATTTTCTCAAAGATTTTTGAGAGGATAGGGAGTAAACTTATCGGTCTGTAGGATGATGTGTTATTAACGGGTTTGCCTGGTTTTGGAAACAGCACGATTATGGAGTGTTTCCACATCAAGGGAAAGTTGGTAGTACGAAGGATGCAATTATATAGATAGGTCAGGAATATAATTGATTTTTTGGGAAGTTGTCTAAGGATTTGTGAAGTGAGGAGATCATATCCAGGGGATTTTCGGGGTTTTAATTTGTTTATGAGGAATTTGACCTCAGAGGGGTTAACAGGTTTTGGAGGTAGAGAGAGAGGAATTGGTGAAGAGAGGAATTCTTTAACTTCAGCAGTGTGGGTGGGATGGAGTTCGGGATGGGGAGTGAATGTGTAGGATAGATGTTTAGCAAACTCTTCAGCTCTATTCGCATCTGACGAAGCCCAGGAACCATCATCACGGCGGAGGGGGTGGGAAATGGATTGGAATTTAAGGATTTTTTTAGTTACAGTCCAGAGGGAGTTATCACTAGATGATAATGAGGAAAGGTAGGAATTGTAGGATTGGGTTCTAAAGATATCCAGTTTCTTTTTTACCTGTTTGGAATAATAATTATACGATTTCCGGTCATCAGGATGCCTGGTTCTTTGCCAGAGGGCCCTAGAGCATCGTTTGCTATGGATAAGGTCCAATAGGTCTTGGGGTAGAGGATTTATACTGAGGTGTTTTTTGGGACGATCAGGTGAGGATGCAGTCCAAACTGCTTGCTGGATCAGGGTAGTGAAGGAGTCCACTGCATCGTCAAGGTCTTCAGGTGTTTTTAAGGAAACTCTGAGGTCTATATTATCATCCAATATTTGACGGAAAAGGTTCCAGTTAACTGGTCCCCTGATAAATGAAGGAGGGGATGATTTAGGAATGGGTGATGTGGAAACGGTTAGGACTATAGGACTGTGGTCTGAGGAAAGATCATCAAGCCTTGAAATGGAACAGTGTAATGATCCTAGACCTTTGTGTAGGAAAAAGTCTAGAAGGTCGGGATTGCGGTTGGGATCTGTTGGCCAGTATGTGGGAGTATTAGGTGAAAGGATGTTGCTGCGATGGGAATTAAGTGCAGATAGCAGTGTTCGCCCTCGGGAATTTGTGGATCTGGCTCCCCATTGTTGGTGTTTTGCATTTAAATCTGCACCTAGGATGAAATGGTGTCCTAAGGAATTCAGGAAGGAAATTATTTGGGATTCGGAAATGGGTATTTTAGGCGGGGAATATGCCGCAACTAATGTTATTGGGTAAAGGGAAGTTTGGATTATTACGGCAGTGGATTGTAGGAAATTATGGGTTGGTAAGGGAAATAAATGATGGGAGAGAGATCGGTGGATAATTATAGCAGTGCCAGCATGTGCTGTTCCATCAGGATGATCGGTTCTATAAATATTGTAGCCAGGAACGTTGATTTGTCGTTTGTTGGTTAGTCGGGTTTCAGTTATTAGTGCTATGTCGATGTTTTTGTCATGTAATAAGATTGTCAGTTCGTTGATGTGATTTCGAATACCATTCGCATTCCATAGGAGAATGGAGAGGGATTTGGTTGAGGACATTTATGGATTTCTCGGCGGTGGAATGAGGTTGGATATAACATTGGTAAGTAATGAAATAAGAGGGGTGATGAGGGATCTAAATTCAGAGAGGAAAGAAGTTAATAGGCTTGTGAGGTCAGTGGAATTGGAAGGAGGAGGAATGTATGTCTGGGTATTGAACCTAGGTTCAGGGATGGAGGGATATGGGTCTTGAGGTTGATTTGTGAATTCTCGAGGTTGAGGTTCTTGTGGCAGGGCCTGAGATTGAGTGTTTATAGTGTCTCCTTTGAACATCTGAGCATAGGTCACTCTTCCGTTCACTGTTCTAGAGGGTTGTCTTGGTGGCCTGGAT